GTATTTTTGTGTATATGTAGTCAGCTTTTAATGTGTTTATGGTTTCTAGTACAGTAGCACTTGCTTAAGTGCTCTTCCTATGCAGGCATTCTTAATATGTAAGAGTGTTGATTGCATTGGTCTTCTAAATGATTTTCTGGGGCCAAATAGTAGTATGTCTAAAAGAAAAAAATTTTTTTTTCGTGGAATGAATAAGTTAAACTTCATTCATGAGAGATAATTTATGTTATAAATAATGAGGATTCCAGAAATAATTAAAGTTTTATTTTTAAAAAGGTTTTGCTCTAGTAAAAACTTTGCCCTTGATGGGCTTGCCTAGCGGCTCAGTTGGTAAAGAATCTACCTGCAGTGCCTGAGACCCAGGGTTCGATCCCCAGGTCAGGAAGATCCCCTGGAGAAGGAAATGGAAACCCACTCCAGTACTCTTCTGGGGAATTTCATGGACAGAGGAGTGATTCCATGGGATTGCAAAGAGTAAAGAGTTGGACATGACTGTGCAACTAACTTTGACTTTTTTATTTTGCCCTTGATATAAAATAATATTTAGTTTAGTAGAAGGGGGAGTGAGTGTCTAGCACCCCTCCAGATACAAGTTACAGCATTGACACAGAGTAAGATAAGTTCAGATAGAATCTGGGCCAGACTGGCTTGATTCAACGGCAGTGGGTGTGTTTGATAACGGTGTTCAAAGTAGCTCTTCTGGAGTCATACTGCTCCAGTTTGAATTGGTAATTTGCCCAAGTGTTCTAGGTTGGAAATCATTTTCTCTCAGAATTTTAATGGCATTGCTTTATTAATTTCCTGCTTTCAGTGCTGCTGAAGCCATTTTGATTCATAGTCCTTTGGGTATGACTCAGGTTTTTTCCTCCTTTTTTCTCTCATTTCTCTGGAAATGTTCAACATCTATTTCTAGTGTTCTGAAACTTGACAGTGTTTTTTTTTATTTTTTAAAAATCTGTTTTCAGTTACTGTGTTGAGAATTTAGTGGACATTTTGGTTAGACTCTGGAAAATCAGGCCTTTCAGTTCTGGTGAATGTTCTTTGGATATTTCAAAGCTTTCTCCCCTCTATATTTTGAAGGATGTAGGATATCTGCTTTTCCTGGTATTTTGATGCTGAAATCTTTGTCTCATTTTTTGTTTTTTCCTTCTCTTTTTCTTTTTTGCCCCCACTTTCTCTTTTTCTCCCCACCTTGGATTTCTGAAGAAGAAAAATTGCCTCAACTTTATTTTTTATACCTCCTAATAAGCATTTTGTTTCTGCTGTTATGTTCTTAAAGAAAAATTCTCTTGACACTTGTTAAGATGACAAACCCAGCTTTACTTAGGACCATAAGCGTGTGTTAGACTGCTTGTGCTGGCATAATAAAATACCGTAGACTGGGTGGCTTAGACAACAGACATGTATTTTCTCACACTTGGGGGGCCGGAAGTCTGAGGTCAGGTGCCAGCATGGTTGGAATCTGGTGAGTACCCTCTGGGTTTCAGATGGCCACCCTTCTGCTGGACACTCACATGGTCTTTCCCTACACGTGTACGCTGGGCGGAGAGATGGCGCTCTTGCCTTTTTTTGTAAGGCTGCCAGTCCTGTTGGGGCTTCCCTGATGACTCAGATGGTGAAGAATCTGCCTACAGTGCAGAGACCTGGGTTCAATCCTGGGGTTGGGAAGATCCCCTGGAGAAGGAAATGGCAACCCACTCCACTATTCTTGCCTGGAGAATTCCAGGGACAGAGGAGCCTGGCAGCTGCAGTCCATGGGGCCACAAAAAGTTGGGACACGACTGAGCGACTAACACTCCCCACTCCACCAGTCCTGTTGGATTTGGATCCTCCCTTTCTGATTACCTCCTGAAGGCCGTGTCTCCAAACACAGTTGCAGGGGGAATTACGGCTGCAACATATGGATATTCAGAAGAGTACAATTCAGTCCACAGCAGACACATACATTCAGTCTGTAATAGGGGGTTACGGCAGCCCACTCCAATATTCTTGCCTGGAGAATCCCATGGACAGAGGAGCCTGGTAGGTTATAGTCCACGGGGTTGCAAAGAGTCGGACACGACTGAGCGACCTCACTGTCACTTTCACAGTAGAGAGGGGGACTGGGTTCCACTTTGAATACAGCAGAGATAGCTGGGGACTTGGAACCAGTGAGCAGGGGTCAGGGGACGCAAAAGACTAAGTGGAAACCGCTCGGGGAGGGGATTTCTGCTAAACTGAACTAAAGGGGCTCTTATTGAAGGCAAATTAAGGATTTATATATCAGAAGGATGAGGAACTTGATAAGATATCAAGGGTGTGGGAATTTCCCCAAACAGGCTTAGCAGCATTCTTGCTAAACTGGCCTCTGTAAGCCTAACAAGGACCTGACAGACTCGGAAGGCCTAGCTGAGGCCTCAGCAGGAAGAGGGCTCAAGGGCCCGGTGAGTTTGGCCAAGAAGAGAAGTTGCGGTCTGCACACCCTTCATTGTTCCTGGTGTTTCTCTTTCCAGAGACTCTCTGTCGGCTTCCTGAGTGACTAAGACGGTAAAGAATCTGACTGTGATGTGGGAGCCTGGGTTCGATCCCTGGGTCAGCAAGATCCCCTGAGGAAGGGCATGGCAACCCCCTGCAGTATTCTTGCCTGAAGAAATTCCATGGACAGAGGATGCTGGCAGGCTACAGTCCGTGGGGTCGCAAAGAGTCGGACTCGCCTGAGCGACTAACTTTTCTGTCTCTTTCAGAGAAGAACCTCTAGGTTTCTCTGGGGCGATGATGGGAGAGGAGGGGTTTGCCCAGTGTATGGAGTGTGTGGCTGGCGTTAGGAAGTCTTTCTTAGAGAACTTCCGTGTAGTCTTCCTTATGTTAGACTCTTCATCCTTGCTCTTAGAAGACTGTAGTTTTAAGTCTCTTGAGAGTCAGTGGTATAATTTGGGCTCTCTTTCGTCTTTCTTCCCCCCAAATTTGGGGTTTGGCTTTTGGGTGTGTGAGTCAGCTGTCCTCCAGCCACTCATGTCCCGGCTTCCGGAATGTTGTCGTTGTCTCTCGGGTTCTTCCTGCCTTGTGGACTGATACCTTTTTAAAGAATCTTTTTGCGGTAGATTTAGGGGTTTGATGAAGGAACAACATTAGATGTATGCACTTACGTCTCCTTTAAGTCTGTTGTCTTAACTGGGAAGCTGCAGCAAATGGTTCAAAACGGGAAAACAATTTGAATAGTTCCAGGAAATTTGCCGTTCTTTTTTGAACTGTGTGGGTTTTGCTTTACTCTGATTTTCCCCCAGATATTTAATGATTCCTAAATGATTCCTCATGACTGTCCTGTAGTTTCACTTTGTATGTAGAACTTAACAAGACCATTTTCTTGAAATTTACTGGTGGCTTCAAAAAAGGCCTGTGGAGAAATGTAAGGGAAGAAGACAGTGTTGATAGCAACAGTTGGGTGCCATTAGAATGGGGATCTCAACCTTATGTCACTTAATCCTCATAGCAATTCTGTAAGGTAAGTGATATTATCACTTATGGATAAGGATGAAGATAATGATCAGAGAGATTAACTAACTTACTTAAGAGCTAGTCAGGCAGTGGTGGAGCTTCATTTCAAACCTAGACTTTAAGACCTTTCAAGTCCTCCTAGGCTACCAAACAGTGTGAACGGTTCTTTCATTCTCTCAGTGAATGTTGAGTTGCCTGCTTCGTCTGGGCCTTGGGGCCACAGGAGGACAGTGCCCTGATGCAACCAGTATATCATGATCAGACTTAACTTTCAATAGAATTTCTGGTGATCTGTGAGTATGGGCAAGAGTAGGAGTAGGCAACTAAGTTAGTTACAGGAGTCCTGGTAAAAGGCATGTTGGTTTTAACCAGGATGGCAGAGGAGCTGCAGAGAAGTGGGTGCATTTGAGGTACCTATTGGAGGTAGAACCTGTAGGATTAGGTGGTGATAAAGATATGGAAGGAGCTGAAAGAACCAAGGGTGACTCCAGGTTGGACTGAATGTTGTTGGTGCTTTTACTGACATAAGGAATGTAGTGGAACAGCGTAATAACACAATACTAATAATATTGTTACATCTGTTAGATATCTCCATGAGAAGGTGTCCAGTATGCAAGGAAATACCTGGGTATTCAGTGGTGTTATAGACTGGAGGTATTTGGGCATCACTTACACATAACTGTTGTTTAGTGGCTAAGTCATATCTGACTCTCTTGCGACCCCATGGACTGTAGCCCGCCAGGCTCCTCCATCTGTGGGATTTCCCAGGCAAGAATACCAGAGTGGGTTGCCACTTTCTTCTCCAGGGGATCTTCCCGACAGGGATCACACTCATGTCTCCTGCATTGGCAGGCAGATTTGGTACCACTAAGGCACCAGGGAAGCCCATCACTTACATATAGATTGTATTTAAAGCCCTGGGACTGGATATGATTATATTTAGGGAAGGTGTGTAAACGTAGGTATGGTCATCCAGATCTGAAGCAGTGTTAACTGATTCACTTCAATGAAGAATCCTCAGTTCATTTCTTAACCAGCAAGCACTTTGCCGACTTGCCAACAGTTAGCAGCTTTTCGATTGAACTATTTACCAGACATCCTTATTCTTCATGAGGGACTAGGCCTGATGAAGAATCCATGGGGGACATCCCAGATTTGAGAATGCCGCACAGAAGGAGAGTGTGGGCACAAGCGTCTTTAAGTGTCAATAAGTAAGGAAGTGCTAGTGTAACTCAGAGTGGGCTCGAGGTGAAATCTGTGACCATTGCTCTGTTTTGTCCTGCTCGCATTGTAGTTCTCTGCAGATACCGTCAGAGGAAGCTGGTGGCAGAGTAGGTGTCCCCCTTGAGTGGAGCAGCCTCTGCTGGGTCCTTCTGTGCAGCTGGTAAAGGGTGGGGCGAGGATTACCTGCGCGGGGTACTTGTGTGTTTCTATGAATTGTGATTTACATGTTAACTGAAAGAAAGATTATTATTAAAAAAAAAAAACTCCAAAGTGAGTCACTTTACTTTGTTCCTTTGAAACAGGAGGTCGTGGATAGCTCCCTTCGAAAATGGAGGACGGAAGGCCCGTGTGGGCCCCGCACCCCACAGAGGGGTTTCAGATGGGCAACATCGTGGATATTGGCCCTGACAGCTTAACCATTGAACCCCTAGGTCAAAAAGGCAAGGTAAGAAGTTTCTTAGAACGATCTCAAAATCTCTCTTCTTACTGTAGCCGTCTCCCTTTTTAATGAAGTAGGTTTTTGTTTTGTTTTGTTTTGTTTTTTATAGCTCAGATAAAGGGAAGCAGTTTTTTGGGTAGTGAATCATAGTTTTCTACTGAGTCCCTCGGGGGAAAATGATATCCCTTCCTAAAATCAGATAGCAATTTAGTGAACCTTTAAGTAACATATTCTTAAGGAGAAATAGCTACATAATAAAATATAAACAATAACATTGTTATTCCTGATGCCATATAACTGAAGTTATGAATATTATCTGTGATATATTCAACCTGTTACCAAGTGAAAATATGAAAAGTGAATGATGTTATGAAATTTTGCTGTTTGCTTTAGCTTTTGAATAATTTAAAAAATCATTTTAAGTTGAAATATAGTTGATTTACAGTGTGTTAATTTCTGCTGTACAGTGAAGTGATTAAGTTATACATATATATACATTTTTTTATATTCTTTTCCATTATGGTTTATCATAGGCTATTGAATGTATTTCTCTGTGCTATGTAGTAGAACCTTGTTGTTTATCCATTCTGTAATTATTTTTTAAAAACTTTTTATTTAGTTAATTTACCGTATAATTAGAAATAAAAATATTTCTATTAAGTAAAGATATTTTACTTCAGTCTTAAACATAACCATCTATTATTATTTTTTGTTGTAATGGTATTTTTAAAACATAAAAGCATATTTCAGTTTTGTTCACATGGTATCTGTTTCCTTTTAGGCTTAGACACAGACTAGACAGTATAACAAAATGAAAGTTTGGGGGAAAAGTGACCTGGAGTCTGCATTTATGAGAGACTGTAGGGCCTGTTTTGTGGGAGAGCTTTACTCTTCTTAGTTTAGTAAATATTCCTGTTAAGTAGGACTTCTAACTTAAATTTGTTGATATCATTTCTGTTTACTTTAGACTCTGCCAGTGTTCATGAATAATTTATATTCTACTGATACATGGTTAACTAATGCCATATGACTGCCATCCTTCTGGGAACCTTAGAAAAACAAGGTAGATCTCTCATGAGGTCTGTTCACAGAGAAAACTATTCTGTTACTGTAAACAACCCGGGAACCTAAATGCATAATATATAATGTGCCGTGTTAGAGGAGGCCAATTAAAGATACCCTCAGGAAAGAAAAGATAGAGCGTTTCTAGTTTTTCCTCTTATTAACAAGTGCCTATTTGTACTTAACAATGCAGTACATGTTCTAAAAAAGAAAGAATTTTAAAAATAAGCTCAATTATTTGTATATATTTGAAGTTGTAGGGGAGGAAAAATTTTCCTCCACCCTTTTGGATCTCTGGGCCTGAAAATTAAATTGACATAAGACAGATTCACAGTAGGAACGCATACAACTTCTATCACATTTTTACAGGAAGATAGTAGCCTTCACAAGAGAATGAAGAATTAAAGAAGTAACCAGACCAGAAGGCTTTTATGTCTTTTAGACAAAGAAACAATAAATTTGAGGAGAATTGATAAGGCAGGGGCTTTTGGGCTAAGGGTGGTGAATTGTGGAGAAGTGTCAGGGAGGGCCAGGGTTAGTCTGAGGAGACAGGGTTTTTCTGCACAGATTTCTCTGGGCCTCCATTCCCTCCCCTGGTGATAAGCATGTCTCTTTCCTCCTGGTAGAGGGAGGGACCTTTCAAGTGGGAGTTTTATCTCTTGCTTTCAGGAATAAAAAGGGTCAGAGTACACTTATTACAGCTGCTATTTCTCAAGTGCTTTTAACTCAAAATTATCAGTATGCCTAAGTAGCATATTTGGGGGGGAGTGACAGAAATGTAATGAGTCTTTCTTTGTCCTTCAAAGTCTTTTTTTAAAAATATTTTTAACATATTTTGTTAGCACAGTAAATGAAAACCACAGAATGAAAAGTACATTTCCTAGTTATATTCTGTTATATTAATATGTATTCTATTGTATCCATAAGTATTCAGTTCAAGGATGGAAGAAACTTGCTTTATGGGTATATGCTTTTTTATATTTTAAATATTTTATGTGCTTGCTGTCCCTTGTTAGTATCAATCAGGGCACACATAGAATCAATTCAAACACTTAAAATTTAAATTGTGGAGTTATAGAAACCTTTTGGATTATAGATTATTTGTAACTAAAGTTGAAGTTTCTTTTCACAAAATTTTTTGAAAGTGAACGAATTCTCTGTGATTTCTTTTAATTCCCCTCTCCCTACTTCCTGGTCAGAGCCTTAATAAATTATAAAGTGTCATGACAACCGTGTGGTTAAAAATATCTGTAGGAGAAGCCGCCTCTTGTGTGGATGATTCGTGGAGTAATGATCATCAGCATTTGAAAATTAAGCAATTACAGAAAACAATGGACAAGTTAAACATATCTGTTTGCTGATACAGTAGAAGTGTGGAAGAGCTGATTAGCTCTCATGGAACATGTTTTTGATGATAGCAGTGCCTTTTGGAGTTTTTCAGTTGTGGCACATAGTAAGAAATAGATTTTAAATCACGTTAGGTAGGTGTATTCATGTGTATGTATATGTGTACTGATAACAAATAGATATTACGTGTCAACAACACACATGTGTATGTATTCAAATGAAACATCTTTTTCATGTGTGATGCATTCTGATATTTTCTGATATCTTTTATTCTGTTAAAAATGCCATCTTGAACCTCTCAATTGACTTCACGTTCCATATTTGCAGCTGACTGGACTTCAGACTAAAGCCCTGAACACATGGCACTTGAGGGTCTACCTTTCCTTTTCCCATTGTTAGTCTTGTCCGCTGTCAGCCCGCAGTCTCCCCCGGACACTCTTGCCGGACCCTTGGTCTTGTGTGTCTTTGTCTTCCTCTTGCAGCCTTCCCCCTCGGTCCTCAGGGGTCCAGGTGGTGCTGTGTCTCTGCTCACTTACTCTTTTTGCCTGGAATGCCGCTCTCCACAGCCCCGTGCAGAGCAAACTCTAATCCGTCTCTCAGGACTGACTGAGGTCACCTCCTTTCTGGAGCTTTCCCACAGATGCTCATCTCTTCCTCCTCCTCCCATGCAGTCAAGTTTACTGTTGATTACCCTTCGGTTTGAAGAGTGGTGTACATTCTTAACCTCTGTAACACTTTGTTGGAGACATTGGTTTACATTTCTCCCCTCCTACTGGACTGTAATCTTCTCAAGTATGGGGCCGTCTCCTTCGCCCATGTTGTCATAGAGCTGGATGCCTTGTGTCTGCGGGCTGGTGGGTGTTTACTGCAGTCTCTTGAGAGGAGAAAAGGTCTCCTCCCTCTTAAGAGAAAACAACTGCCTTAATGAAACAAGTTTCCTCTTTCTCACTAAGTAGTGGTAAAGGGGGGAAGAAGGTGGAGGCTGGTGGTCATTTGAGGGGTGAAACAAGATGGAGAGAAACTAGCTTCAAGGGCTTACTACAGACTTTTCAGCCCTGAGCTTCCCCTTCCCACTGCAGGAACACTTTGTCCTGCAGCCCTTTTTCTGACCTCTTAGAGGCTCCAAACATAATAGAGCCAACACCTGGAGTCTGGGGAGGCCTTAGCCCTGTGGCTGAGGCTGTGAAAGTGGCACGTAGCCCTGTGACATCAGGAGCTATTTCTGAATGTGTTTTTCCTGTAGAATCATTGATTATAAATTGTGGATTGTTTTATAGCACCATTAATATACTTAATGTACATTATAGATTAGTTCTCTACTTGTGATTTATCCTTTAAACCTTCCGTCACATATAACGTTAAGAACACGTGTAGTGGGTTCCTAATAATTAACTTCTAGAGTCTTCAGGGCATAACAGTTTTCTAATTTGGACTTGACTTTGTATGGTGGTAGTACCAGCATCCTGAATTTTAAGTTTACTCTGTAAACTGTAGCAGTAGCCTTGTCTTATACTCTTGCATATATATTCATATATAGAATTTATACATATTATTCTAAAATCATTGAGCAGCTTTTCCTTAGAGGTTTATTTGATATGGATGGTTTGGAACTTCAACCATAAGAGTAATTGTAGTTGTTTGAGAAATAGAAAAGTATAAGCAACTATTAGAATGGCATGGAGAAAATTTAATTCTCTTTAGATGTAATTTGAGATCTTTCTTTCTCTTTTACAAGATGCTATCTTAATTCTAGAGTTTCTGCCATAGCATTTAAGTGATATAGTAAACCCAAACTTATTCATAAATATCTGTAATTTTATGTACCTAATAGTTTTGGGTACTGTATATTTTTGACACATTCCTGTATAGGAATTTGTCTCTAATATATTTTACTCAGACAGTAGCATTAATTAAATTATAGTCTGTTGGTGTATTTGATTGATTGACTGTTACTTTTTCCTTTTTTAAAATAATAAAATTGTGGTATATATAAACATCAAAATTTTTATTTTTTGAAAAGTTATTGAAAAGCATACCTACCTAATGTACTATGCAGTATGTTAGTATTAGCATACTTCTTGTTTTGTGCCACTCTTGGTGTTAGAGCACAGGATTTTTTTTTATTGATTTCTATTATTGATTTCATGTTCATAGTAATAATGGATAATATATTTGAGTAAAGTTATCCTGCTTTTATGTTAATGACTTGTTGGATCTGGTATTACATCTTAATGAAGAGCATATTATCACCACTATTTCAATGTATGCAGACAATTAAACTCCTTTGTCTTTACCATTTATAACCTTCTGGTTTAATAAGCTCTTATTTTGTTTTTTAGACATTTTTGGCTCTCATAAACCAAGTGTTCCCTGCAGAAGAGGACAGTAAAAAAGATGTGGAAGATAACTGTAAGTATCAGTTTAAAAAGTAGTTCTCATCATAGAAAAGGAAACCGTTCCTTCCAAAAATATATGAGTGATTATATTACCGGGTACACTATCCTGGTTGAGAAGAAAGGTTTGATGTGAAGGTTTCTGTGAAGAGGGAGCCCCACAGTCGTGGATGCGTTGGTCTCTCACACATGGACTTTGGTGAAGGAAGTCTCTTGAATGTCTTTTTAGTGTTATCTCAATTGTGTAAATACAGGGAATGGGAATAATTTATTTACTCTGAAGCCTGAACTAAGGATCTCATATTTTTTTTTTGGAAGAGTTATTTTGAACCTCATCTGCAATCAGGTGTTTTTGTGTGTGTGTGTGTGTGTGTGTATGTGGTTCAATAATTTGGAAGTTGAGTCAAAAGCAGCCATTTAATGCCTCTGTTTAAAAGAAAAAACATTAAAAAATACTGTGCAATAAATGCTAATTGAAAAAAAAATACTAATTGAAAAATTGATTTCAGAATAGTATGTTAAAGTACAGCATTAGTTTGACTTATAATTGCCTTAGAATTTTTTGTGGAAAAGTACTATATCCAGAGCAGTAGGCCATGTATATTCTTTTTTTTTTTTAATTTTTTAATTTTTTTTCCATATATATTCTTAACATTGTTAAAATGAAGTAGTAGTCATGTTTCATTTTTTATGTGGCAAGATTTAAGTACTATGTCCAGTTGTCATGGGTTTCTTTAAAAGTATCTGACATTAAAAACCATTTAAAGAAGAGGGGTAAAGAAAGGAATGTGTTTTGTCCTTGCTGGTTTTCTCTGGAGTTCACATTTGAGCAACCCTGCAGGATTCCCATCTATGACGCAGAATACAAGAGTAATGGTGGGCATCCAGTGCCCAGATTCTGACTAAGCAGTTAGGAAGCTGAGTGCCTGTGGGCAATTTCTCTCTCTCCTTTAGGCTTCTCTGTAGAATGGGAGTAATAATGATTCTGTTTCATCCTTAGAGATGATACATATAAAATGCTTGGCACAGTGCCTGACCTCTAACAGCCTCTCAGTAAATGGTATCTGTTATTATTAGGTATAAGAGACTAGGGGAAAAAATGTGGAGCTCCCCTCCATTCTAAAATTGCCAGAGAATTTGTCTGATGGGATAATATTTTTCTAATTAGCAGTCAGAACCACAGCAAGAGAAAGGAATGAGATTCTGCTGTATCTAAAATGAGAGAGAAAATTCTTTTCTGTTTTCACTTGCTAGGGTATTCAGAATTGGTAGCAGTCCTTTTCATGTATCAAGGTAATGTTTTCTGGCATTCTGTGGTAAGCACCGTGAAGAAAGGAGAAAGGAGAAAGTAGTCCCAGTGGTGGTAGGGTAGTGAGGATGGGGAGGTGTTATTTGAGGGGTCATCTTTGAACTGACCGTAAAGGACAGGTAGATTTTTGACATAGAGATGCAGAGGCGTATTTGAGTTTGATTAATGGTTTAGTCTGCCTGCAAGTTAGACCATATTAAAGAGAATTATGGAAAATTATATGAAAAGGTCAGTCGAGTGTTGGTTTACTAAGGGCCTTGAATACGGGACTTGAATATGGACTTCCGTAGTTGATGGAGACCCACTGATGATTTTTGAGGAAGAAGGAGATTTAGGGCTCTAGTGTAGTTATGGCTTGGTCAGTAAAGATTCTGCCTGCAGTGCAGGAGATGCAGGAGACCCAGGTTTGAACCCTGGGTTGCCACGATCCCCTGGAGAAGGAAGTGACAACCCACTCTGGTACTCTTGCTGGAAAATTCCATGGACAGAAGAGCCTGGCAGGCTACAGTTCTTGCAGTCGCAAAGAGTCAGACATGACTAAACCGTCAGTAGTGTCGTTAGAGGAATGCCGTGAGCAGTGAGGGTTAGAGAGGAGAGAGGCCTGTAGACAGGTGGGAGGCTGCTGTGATTACAGAAGCGGCGATGAGACCTCACTGGGCTTGGGACTGTGGAACTGGAAAGAAAGGAGAGCCATTTCAGAGACTCAGACTGTGTTCATTGTGAGTGCCCACCGTGAGGCGGGTGCCGTGCTGCGCTGTATTACACGTGTACGGACTTGGGAGTGAGTTCAGAGCAAGGAGCGGGAGAGGAGGGTCCTCGTATCCACTCGGCTTGCAGAACAGGTGAGTGGGGAGTGGTGGTGCTGATGATGGGAATGGAGTGAATGGGGAAGAGTGGGTTGTCTGCCTGAGTGTGTGGTGGAAACGTGAAAATGGGGCTCAGCCAGCTGTGGGCTGGGTGGTGCATCAGGTGAGAATCGAGTGTGTCGGTATTGGTAGAACAGACGTCAGAAAAACAGGATTTCTACCCTGATGCCGCTGTTTTAGTTTAAGACACATGTGATTTCTCCAGGATTCTTATTTCATCATGTCAGTGGTGAGGCACTGACTGAATTACCTGTTTCCTTCACGTTCTAAAATTTCATCTTTTTTATTTTCTGTAGGATTCTGAGCATCAGATTGAATGAGTGTCGTCCACTAATCTTTGTTGTGTCAAAAATGTGTAAAAATCAGCTCTATCTGGAACTTCGCTGGTGGTCTGGTGGCTAAGACTCCACATGCTAGTGGAGGAAGCCCAGGTTCTGCCCCTGGTCAGGGAACTAGATCCAGCACGCCACAACTAAGCCCTGGTGCCACCATGTAAACAATAAATAAATATTTAAAAATCAGCACTATCTGAAGTAGTACTGACTTTCCACTTGAATTGGGCCTGATTCTTTAGCCAACCTTCATTACTGTGTGTGTGTGCTCAGTCACTCTGCTGTGCCTGGCTGGCTCTTTGCAACCCCATGGACTGTATAGCCTGCCAGGTTCCTCTGTCCATGGGAATTCTCCAGGCAAGAGTCCTGGGCTGGGTTGCTGCAGGTTCTTTATTGACTGAGCCACCAGGAAAGCCCAGAAATACTGGGAGTGGGTAGTCTATCCCTTCTCCAGGGGATCTTCCTGACCCAGGAATCGAACCAGAGTCTCCTGCATCGCAGGTCGATTCTTTGCTAGCTGAGCTACCAGGGAAGCCCTCCTAACTGTGGATTCACCTGATGCTCACTGGAGACATTCCTCTTGCTGAAAATTTGTTTAAAAATATCATTATAACTCATGTGTGTGTAAGCTGGATATATTTTAAATTGGCTTCTGGAGTTTACAGGTACCAGGGAAAAGATGGAATTAAATTTAACCTAATAGGTGAATTTTAGCTTGGGTCCGAGTGATTCAGATTAAGATGGTATTGTTTTATTTTGCTTTCATTCTTCAGATAGCTAATGATTTACAAAATTTCCATCTCAGGTTCATTAATGTATTTAAATGAAGCCACACTACTCCATAATATCAAAGTTCGATACAGTAAAGACAGAATTTACGTAAGTATTTTACCTGTGGTTTAAGTTTTTTGGGGATTATTATTTTACATGCTTCTGTTTGATTTTGTTGAGCTTGAAATTTTCTTACCAGGAGATCATTCTTGACCTGAGCCTGTTGAATGGAGCCTGAGCTCCATGAGGATGAGGATTTTTTCGTAATTTACTGCTCTTAATTCCAGGGCTTAGACCAGGCATGGTGCATAGTACTTCAGAAATATTTGTGGAATGAAATAAGGAGTTCAGGGCATCATATAATATTTTTCAGCCTTAAATCTATCCAGTTTGGTTATTTATAAAAGCACTAATTATTTTGAACTATGATTTTTAAATTTTTGGCATATATCTATAGATCTGTTTAACTAATGCACTTTCCACATTGTTCTGCAAAACATTTAAGTCGGACTTAAGGCATACATAATGAAATTAAACTTGGATGGCAAAAAATGTAAATTAGAGTAGAAGGCAGTATGTGAGGAAATTTCAGGAACACTGAAATGCTGATCATGAGCCTGAATAGTCGCAATATTTGATTCCAAAGAGATAGCTTTCCTTAAAAGCCCAGGATATTTAAAAATGAAAGACAGTGCTTCTAATGTATTAAATAGGGTTTTCACCAAAGCATTCAGATGAATGCTTAAATGGTATGTTTTAATTATCATGATTCACTGGGCATGTATGAGGTTTTATTCGAGTTATAGGTTCCTTTGTTGGCTGGAGATAAATTACCCTGCTGTAGCTCTCCTGTTTTATAAAGATGGGACTCTTCATTATTTTTGAAAGAAGAAAACACATGGCTTCTTTGACACTTCCTAGATCAAATGACATTCTTAATATTTTATATCACTATCAGTTTGCCTAGTTGTACTTACTTAATTCTGACTAAATTACCTTTAGTCTTTGCCATCTGTCCAAGTAGTGACAGCTGGGAAGTAGAACTAATCTATTTAGTCTTTTCCAAAAGAGTTTATTCTCACTTATACCTAGTATTAAGTCTTTCCTTTTCTCTCTGCTTTTTTCCCCCAAAGTCAACTAAATAGTATATTTAGGTTACTATAGATATGGCTATTCTTATTTAGAAATATATTTGGAAGCAAAATTCATTTAATCAGCAGACTAATGTTGAGTATCTAATATGTGCTAAATGTTTTAGGTACTAAAATAATAACGTTTTTAGGTAGAACGCTTTACCACCTGAGCTACTGGAGAAGCCTAATAACGTTTTAAAAATTTGTTTGTTAAAGCAGTTTAACTTGTAACAGGTCAGTAAAAGTTGATTTAGCTAAAACCATCTTTCAGGTAGAACTGGCCACTATTTTTTCTTTACATGTCTACATCACTTGGTGGTAATGGATCAGTTTTACTTACCTGAGCAAATTTTAATTGTTTTAATATCTTTTTCTTGAACTTTACACGTTTTAAACTACCTTTACAGAATCATGTTACTCAACAACAACAAAAAAACACTGAGCTAGTTTGTTTTTATTTGGGATGATTATACATGAACTTCTCACCCTGGAATTTTCATTGGTCCATTAATGTTTCCTATGCAATGGTGATGTTCCACCTGCTGACTGTGGCCACTGATAACTGAAGGTTTACGTGTAGAATTCATTGTACTTTCAAAAAAAAGATTAGCACTGCATTTGATTAACAAGTCTCTGCTGAATCACATACCTGATAGAAATAATTACCTGTTTGTGAAATTTTAAGTTTTTGCTCCTCGTGTATGTGTCCGCATCACTCTGGAGAATTTTAAGATGATTTCTGTTTGTTCTGGCCGCCTTTTCCTAAGATGTATATGCAGTTGGGTGTACAGCCTCTGTTAGACAGTGGCTGTTTAGCATCATCAGCTCTTGTTTGGAAAACCAGTGTTTTCCAAGTTCATGAAAGCCATACATAACTGGTGGGTTTTTGCCTAGCCAGTTATGCCTTTTAGTTATAAAACCATTAAATAGCAGCAACACACAAACAGAATGCTTATTACTGTAACATATGTAAGAGAGGGAAGCAGTTCACAATAGTTTGAGTTGGGTTTTTTTATACTTCTCACTGACCAGAATTGCCACCATTCTCCCTTAGACATTTAACATTTTCCTTGGTTACTGAAGTCTCTATTACTTTCCTTTTGTTTCACATGGAAAGATTATTAACTGGAATTTATTTTTCACCCCACCCCAGGAAACAGGTTTGAGAGCATTTGCTGAATTTTAGATTAGCAGGCTGAGAGTTTGGGGTTTCCGCATCATTTCCCTTCCACAGCTAGAAGCAGAAGAGAAAAAAATATGGTCCTGTATGCCCTAGTTTGGTCTGCAAACCACAACCAATTGCTAAACCACAAGTCTCTTTCTACCCACAAAGAATTTTATAAATCCTATTGGTGGCATTTTTTTTTTTTTTTTTGGTCTTTTGAAGCCACGGTGAAATTTCAGATTTGAAAGCAGGCTTCTTCATTGCTCATCAAACATTTAGCCCATCAGTATTCTAGGCAATAGTTAAGCATATGGTGTTTTGCGAAAGTCTGGGACCAAGTGGTCACTGCAGAGCTAAATCAGTCCTAAGGTTTTCAGTGATGGGCATAGGCCTCGAGGGTTCCGTGGGCCAGGTTACACTCTTCAGTAGCTGCGTTACACTCTTCAGTGAAGAAAGTGGTCTAGACAGGAAATACAAATAAGCAACATGCAGGCTGTAGGTATAGAGCAGATGTTGTAAGTGGAGTCAGCAGAAGATGTCTCAGAGGGGTAGAGGCTCAGCTCTGCCCACGCGGATCTGGTGGTGGTGTCTTGAATCTGGGAGGGCAGATGGAAGGAGTGTGTTTCCTTTGATGCAAAGGGAGGTCAAGAGAGGTGATTTTGATTTTGGGTGTGGCGAGTTTTAGATGCCTATGGGATAAGAAGATGTAAGTATTTATTAAGTGTTGAAGAAATATGGGTCCAGTAGAGATCAGGGAATGTTTAGGGCTAGAAATGCAGATTTGGGAGTTCTAGTTACAGAGAGAACTGGGGGTGTCTACTTGCTGTATGTTCTTTCTTTTATGAGCTTTGTTTGATTTTAAATGAAAATAATAATTGGAAAATTTAATGTTTACGCTTTTCCCACTTAGACCTATGTGGCCAACATTCTGATTGCAGTGAACCCATACTTTGACATACCTAAAATCTATTCTTCAGATGCAATAAAGTCGTACCAAGGAAAATCCCTTGGGACAATGCCACCTCATGTGTTTGCAATTGGTAAGTAATTTAAGTATATCTTAGTTTTTACTTCAGTTGTACAGACTCATTCAGTTTTTCTTTTGGATTAGTAAAGGATGCCATGCACCGAATGTCTGAAGGCCTGTGTGCACGTGAACCTGTCACTGTGTTAGGAGCGTGTCTCTCACACAGGGTGGGGAAGAATACTTTTGCTGCTGACTCATGGGGTGGTTGTACCTCATTACCTTTGTTAAATGCCTGTGTTCTCTTAAGTGTGTCCATCCAGTTGAAAGTAGGTCATCATAAAATGTGACCTAAGGTTTTCTTTTGACTCCATCTTTAAAGTGTCCCCCTTCTGCAACTAAGAAGGAGGTCCAGACCATTCGCTCTTTTACTTGTGAACGTTTTACCTCTGCTGGAAGGGGGATGTGAGAACAGACATCTTTTATCCCTCATCAGGGCATTTTAAATTGTAAAGGATGGACAGTGACACATGTTTCATAATCTCTGGAGAATCTGCGTGGAAGGGCAGCAGCATCTGTCTTTGCCTTTCTAGAGCACTCTCTCTCATCTCGAAGGCCTTAGCTCTGAAAAGCAGAGACAGAGTTGCTTGAGAGGCATCCCCCAATAGCTGGTGGCTGCAAGTACAGAGATGTTAGCTAAGCCTTGGAATTCAGATGTAACTGAATTAAATAGTGACAAGTTTTGGTTCAGGTTTTTAGCATAGTTCGTGTCTCTTTGTACCTGTGTTTTGGCTTAACTGGGCTTCACCTCTAGATTTGACTGAACATGTTCTGGGTGCTGCTAGGCAGAGTAGATATGTGCACCAAGTCCAGTGCAACTAGTTCTATGATGCTCTGATGGGCATCTGTATGTGTTCTATCAGCTGGCAAAATGGTGAGCAAGTTCATCACTAGACAGAAGTTACATGTTTAAAATGTAGTTGCTTACTACTAAAAAATTGTTTGGAACGATTCCACAAAATTGGGTGAAACAGATTACTGATGAATTGGTCAAAGGGATATGAGCACTCTTGCGTTAGTTTGCATTGGGTCCTTTGAGAAAAAGCCATCTGTAGAACCTTCTTCACTGGTATGTATAGCACCTGCCTGAGGTGAGAAATAGCTGCCTTATAGGGCTCAACTTGTCAGGACCTCATTTTTAATTAGATTTAATTTAGTCCACTTTAAGAGAATGAAATTGTGCTCATCTTGTCTGTGAAGTCCAAAAGATATAGCTTAAATTGTTGGAGGATAATGAAGATAGTTAAAAATTGTATATATAAATAACAGCAGATCTGAAAAATTGAAAGCAGTTAATTTTGCCTATTTTTGAAATGTTGGTAAATTCTACAAGATGTTTACGTTTAATGGTAGAATTACAGGAGGAAAAAAAACACCACAGGTCTGTTGTGCAGTTGTGTGTGTGTGTGTTTTTTTTTTTTCTGCAGCAGAATTTTGGCTGCCAGATTTCTTAATTGGTAGCTTGTTACTTTTTGCTTAATTCTCTGAGGATATCATTAGTTATGTATAGTGAGCATTTTTCATCTCTCTGCAAATATGTTCTGGTATTAGGAAAAGCTGAGCCACTGCTCATAATATGGAGACATTCTAGTGCAAACATAAGAGTTGTTTATTTGGATTTCATATCACTTAGCCATCAGGATAATTATAGAGAACATTTAAAGTATATACTTATAAAGATGTTTTGAATACTTTTAAATGATTTTATTTAAAAATTTTGGTAGCTGTAAACACACATTTATAATTTCTTTCAGAACAAGTGCTTTTTGTTAGTAAATGGACTTTCTATCATTTGGAAATTTTTATTTAATACTTTGTTCATCACTAATAGTGTATTGTTATTTTTACTCCAGCTGATAAGGCTTTTCGAGACATGAAGGTGCTCAAGATGAGTCAGTCCATCATTGTATCTGGAGAATCAGGAGCTGGCAAAACAGAAAATACAAAATTTGTTCTAAGGTGAGGAATATTTAGCTGACCTAAAATGTTCTGAACAAGTTGATTATTTTTTAGTTGTGGTAAAAAAAAATATACAACATAAAATTTAACCATTTCTAAGTGTACAGTTCAGTAGTGCTAAGTATATTCACATTGTCGTTCAGCCAATCTCCAGAACTTTTCATCTTGCAAACTAAAATCCTATAACCATTAAACAACTCTGTGTTCCCCCCCGACCGACCCAAATGCCAGGCAACCACTGTTCTTACTTCCTGCCTTTTTGATTTTGACTACTCTGGACACCTCATGTAGGTGAAATATACAACTTTTTGTTTTTCTGTGACTGACTTTCCCGCATTAGCATGATGTCCTCAGAATTGGTCCATGTTGAGGTGTGTGTCAGAGTTTTCCTCATGTTTAAGGAGTAGTATTCTGTCATGTTTGTGTATCACATCTTGTTTATCCATTCACTCATCAGCAGGCACTGGGGTTGCTTCCATCTCTTGAGTCTTGTGAATAGTGTTGCCTTGAACATGATATGAACAAAGAGTTACAGAGATCTCCTTGAGATTTGACCAGGTTGACCTTGAATACTTTTGCATGCTTTATGACATAGTTTGAAATGGTGGGCTCTGTTTCTGTTACAAAAACAGACACCTTATGTGGAAGCTAAGCTGGGGAGTTTTGAAATCTTGCTCTGACATGTTATCCTCAGGAGGATCCTAGAGGAGACCAGTGCTGGTTAGGCAAAGGGAAACCTCCAACCATTCCTTCAGAATCCAACCATTACATTCTGTTTTCAATATTCCTGCTATTAGAGTGGTCAGAATAGTTTTTTTACCTTAAGTTTGTGATGGCTGACCTTCTCGTTTCTACCTCCCCACAACCCTCCTCCCAGCGTCAAAGATAAATATTTCTATGTGTAATGAATATCATATTTGAGACACAATAGTTGGTTAAAATCAGAATGTTCCCAAAAAGTTCTAAAAAAAATAATGCTGATTTAGATGTCAAAGACCATCCATATAAGATTTTAAATATCAGAAAAGCTATAAGAGAATAGTGAAAGAAAGAAACTGAAAGTGAAGTCGCTGAGTCGTGTCCGACTCTTTGCGACCCTGTGGACTGTAGCCTACCTCCGTTCATGGGATTCTCCAGGCAAGGATACTGGAGTGGGTTGCCATTTCCTTCTCCAGGGGATCTTCCCGATCCAGGGATCGAACCCGGGTCTCCCTCATTGCAGACAGACGCTTTACCGTCTGAGCCACCAGGGAAGCCCTAATAGAATAGTAGGTACATTTAAACACAAATTTGTAATATTTATATGAGCTGTTCCAGTATATGATTCAGGTTTCAATGTTAGATGTGTTAAATAATATTAAAATTAGAAATATAGGCTGCCAGTTCAAGATGGCAGTATAGAAGAACATACACTCATCTCCTCCTGAAAAAGCTCCAAACTTGAAACTAGCTGTTGAAAAACCATCGACAGGCAGAAGGACACTGGAACCCACTGAAAAAGGTACCCTATGTCCAAAGACAAGAAGCCACAGTGAGACAGTGGGAGGGGCACAATTGCAAGAAAATAAAATCCCATTCCTGCCAGGTAGGTGACCCACAAACTGGAGAAAAATAATACCGAAGAAGTTCTCCCACTGTTGTGAAAGTTCTCAACCCCAGCCTGGGGACCTGACAAAGAGACTGGGAATCCCCAGGGAATCTGACCTTGAAGGCCAGCGGGATTTGCTTATAGGATTTCCATGGGACTGTGGGAAACAGACTCCAGTCTTGGAGTGCACAAAGTCTTGCATGCACCAAGACCCAGAGGGAAGGAGCAGTGACCCCAGGGGAGATTGAACCAAAACTACCTGCTAGTGTTGGAGGGTCTCCTGTGGAGGTGTCAGTCGGCAGGGGCTTATCACAGAATCAGGAGCATTGACAGCCGCAGTCCTGGAAGGTCCCCCATGGCATAAGCCCTCTTAGAGGTTGCCATTAACCCTGCTCTAGAGTCTAGACCCCAGGGCTGGGTCTCCTTAGGCCAAACAACTATCAGGGAGGGGATGTAACTCCGCCCATCAGCAGATAAGTGGATTAAAGCTTTACTGAGCAAGGCCCTGCCCATCAGAGCAGTCAGTTCAGTCGCTCAGTTGTGTCAGACTCTTTGCGATCCCATGAATCGCAGCACACCAGCCCTCCCTGTCCATCACCAGCTCCTAGAGTTTACCCAAACTCATGCCCATTGAGTTGGTGATGCCATCCAGCCATCTCATCCTCTGTTGTCCCCTTCTCCTCCTGCCCCCAATCCCTCCCAGCATCAGGGTCTTTTCCAATAAGTCAACTCTTCGCATGAGGTGGCCAAAGTATTGGAGTTTCAGCTTCAGCATCAGTCCTTCCAATGAACACCCAGGACTGATCTCCCCTAGGATGGACTGGTTGGACCTCCTTGCAGTCCAAGGGACTGTCAAGAGTCTTCTCCAACACCACAGTTTAAAAGCATCAATTTTTCGGTGCTCAGCTTTCTTCATAGTCCAACTCTCACATCCATACATGACCACTGGAAAAACCATAGCCTTGACTAGACGGACCTTTGTTGGCAAAGTAATGTCTTTGCTTTTTAATATGCTGTCTAGGTTGGTCATACCTTTCCTTCCAAGGAGTAAGCGTCTTTTAGCAAGACTCAGCTTTTCCCATCACCATTCCCTCCAGTCAGGAGGCTTACACAAGCCTCTGAGCTTCCTCCATCAGAGGGCAGACAGAAGAAGCAAGAACAACCACAGTCACACAGCAGCTAAAATAAAGACCACATTACAGGATGAAAAAGCAGAAAGTTGTGTTCTGGATGAAGAGACCGGATAAAAACCCAGAAAAACAACTAAATGAAGTAGAGATAGGAAATCTTCCAGAAAAAGAATTCAGAAAAATGATAGTGAAGATGATCCAAGATCTTGGAAAAACAGTGGAGAAGATGGAAGAAATGTTTTACCAAAGATCTAGAAGAACAAACAAACAGATAAATAATACACTAGAAGGAATCATAACAGAATAGCTGAGACGGAAGAATGGATAAATGACCTGGAAGACAGAATGATGGAAGTCACTGCCAGAAAATAGAAGGTAGAAAAAAGAATGAAAAGAAAGACAGCCTAAGAGACCTCTGGGACAACCTTAAAGATACCAACATTCACATCATAGGGGTCCCAGAAAGAGAAGAGAGAAAGAACCTGGGAAAATACTTGAAGACCTAATAGCTGAAAATTTCCCCAACATGGAAAAGCAAATAGTCAACCAAGTCCAGAAACACAAAGAGTCCCAGGTAGGATAAACACATAGTAATCAAACTGATAAAAATTAAAGACAAAGATAAAATATTAAAAGCACCAAGAGAAAAATAGCAAATAGTATACAAGGGAACTCCCATCAGGCTATATCAGTTGATTCTCAACAGAAACTCTAGAAGTCAGAAGGGAATGGCACGATATGTTTAAAGTGATGAAGGGAAGAACCTACAACCAAGAATACTCTACCCAGCAAGACTCTCCTTCAGATTTGATGGAGAAATCAAAAGCTTTCCAGACCAGCAAAAGAAGAGAATTCAGCACCACCAAACCAGCTTTACCACAGTGCTAAAGGAACTTCTCTAGGCAGGAAACACAAGCTAGGAAAAGACCTACAGAAAATAAACCATGAACAATTAAGAAAACTGTAATAGGATCGTAGATACTGATAATTACCTTAAATGTAGATAGATTAAGTGCACCAAGCAAAAGACATAGGCTGGCTGGGCAGATGGAAACATGTGCCTGTGTACACTTCTACCTAGCACACCAGTCTGCTGGACTCCCCCAAAGTGTATATACTTACTTTATAATGTTAAGTTAATTATGCTCCCATTATGACTTGCAATTATAATTATTTTTTTATTTTTTGTCTGGCTGTTGATTGTGAAAACTGATAAAACATCTTTTACTATTGCAATTATGTAACTATTACTCACTCAGTACTATTTGTATTATGATTGGTCAACAGAAAAATAATAGAACTCTGTATCACCAGAACTATGATCTAATAGAAAAACCTGTAATCACTTTTTAAAATCCAGATACATAGCAGAATTATCTTGGAATTTTTTGAAAAATATGAATGCCTAGATATTGCCTCTTTTTTCTCCAGAGCCCCAGATATGTTTCTAATAAGCAGCCACATTTAAAAACAACTGTATTATATGATGATATATTATTTTTATCTAGTTCATTTCACTTTTTCCATTACATATTCCGTGCTCCCATTTCATTTAGTTTATGTGTTCCAGTTTTCTACCTCTTCTTTTTCTTTTGATGTTATTTCTCAAGTCTTTAGCAAGTGGAGTAGAAAAGCTTTTATATAAATATGTATATAAGTAATATATATGTTTCAGAAAATTTATGAATTTTTGCCTAAAATATTTATGATAATTTGATTCCTCTTGTTTGACTTAGTATGACTAGAATGCTAGATTTCTAATGGAAAAAATAGATATGCAACAAGCAACAAAGGTTTACTGTATAGCAAAAGGAACTCTAGTCAATATCTTGTAATAACCTATAATGGAAAATAATTTCAAAAATAACATATATATATGTATAACTGAATTACCTTGCTATACACTGGAAACATTGTAAATTAACTGTACTTCAATAAAATGCATAAAGAAAAAAATTTTTTAAAGCAATATAATACATGCAATATCATTGTCATCTAACATTTTTTTTTTATCCTGTATTTTAAACAGATATCTGACTGAATCCTATGGAACCGGTCAAGATATTGATGATAGAATTGTTGAAGGTGACAGAACTTTTTAAATTCTTATTTTTTATTGTTAGATATGGACTGAAATTAACTTAGAAGAATCCTCTAAGTGCTCTGGAATGTTCTCACAGAGATCCAGAAGATTCCAATCTCTTACAAATCTTTGCTGCTTTGTTATCTTGTCATTTACTTAATGTCTGTTGTTTTTCCCCTGACCCCATGTGCACACTAAGAGGGCAGAGATTTTATAGATTCCAAATCCCTGGAATAGTACCTAATACATGGCATGTGCATCATCATTTATGGAGCTATGAATGAGTGAAAGGAATACAGGAAGCCCTCTGGCCTCCTGTGCATTTTGTTGACCTTGTTTTAGTAAAGGAGAAAAGGAGAGGGTTATTTGGAATTGAGGTGCTGGGGGAAGTCATTTTAACAGAAATGTACCCTTGGAAGGCAAGAGTCTGTACACTGATTTCCTTAAGCAGTCAGTGTCTGTACACCCCTTAGAGACCCCATACCCTGTTTGGACACTGCTGGTCCAGGCAGGTCTGCGGTAGCCTCCCACAACAGGTTCCTCTCTGGTCTCCCCTCCTATAATCTACTCTCTGTGTGGAAGCTGGAATGATCTGTTTTGCTCTAAGCTCTTATTGGCTTCCTATGTCTCTCAGGGTTAAACCTACCTTGCTCTTTGTGACCAGGTACCTGCCTCTTCTGGTCTGATTGAGTCATTTTTCCTGTGAATCCTCATGCTTTAGTCACACTGGTCTCCTTGTAGTTCTTTGAGGTGTTTCAGGCCTCCTTGACACCTCCCTCACCACTTCTTCCTACCGGACACTCAGTATTTAATAATGATGATGGTATTGACATGTGTGGGATGCACTAGGTGTTGTCTGATTTGCTTAAAATGGGTTACCTAACTTAACCTCTTCACAGAATACGAGGTAGGTGTTTTGTCCCTGCTCCACAGATGAGAAACTAAGGTAAAAAGAGTCTAAGTAACTTTCTGAAGAGTAAATAGCTCATCACTTGTAGAGAAGGGACATATAGACAGACATCTTAATTGCATTATCTACTAAGTGCTCTTTTTAATACTCCTGACATTAAAAAAAAAAAAATTCAGTTTAACGAAGATTTGTCAGGAGCCTTCATGTATTTTCTGGAGAAGGAAATGGCAACCCACTCCAGTACTCTTGTCTGGAAAATCCCATGGACGGAGGAGTGTGGTAGGCCCATGGGGTTGCAAAGAGTTGGACATGACTGAGCAACTTCCCTTCCCTTCATATATTTTGACAGATCATGGCAGGCAAAAGTTACATACACTTTTTACAATTATGTAAACATGCATGTACATGAATATAAATTCTACTCTAATAAACATTTTTAAAGTTTACATCAATAAGATTTTTCATATTTCTTGATATAAATAATTTTCTAATTTTATGTACAGTTCTCACTGATGTATGGTGGCACACCAAGGTATAATCACAGTAAAGTGCTTTTAGTGAGAGAATTGTCATTTAAAATTGAATGAGTAAATAAAGTAGGGATTAATAAAATACTAATTAATATTCTGACTTGATTATGTGAGTCGCAGATTCACTTTGGTATTGGATGTAAGCCTAGTTTCTTTCAGGAGAACAGTCTGTGTGATGTGTAACAGGCTGTAGTTGAGGACCAATGGAAAGGGTTATTCCAAATTTTTCTCCAGCCCCTTACTGGAGGATAGTGCATGTAAACTGGCAGGACCATAGAAATCTTGAGGTGACATATACATGCTAACATTTCCTTCGGTTTTAGTACTTTCTTACTTATTTTAGCAAGTGAAGCAACCTGCGAGTGATCTTTAAATGGATTTGGAGACTAGTTAAGCTTTCTACTGTGGACAGACAAAGAGAAATGGACTTTAGACTCTTTCATAAGAAATATTCTAGCAATAAACATATGAAGCAGTTTATGAGGTTGTTGAAGGAATGTGTAAGAGTGGCACTAATCTGATATAATTATAGTTGAGACTATGGTGAGTATAAAACTCTAGTAACTCTCTCAATAATGTAGAGTATGTGGTGGGCGGGGAAGAGACATTATAAAATGAAGACAATTAAAATTTTACATTTGTTCCTTGGGGTTTCAGAAACTATTGTTCTGAGAACCTTTTGTACACAGTTCTATAAACTGAATTTGTTAGGTTTTGTTGGATGTGCATGTAAAAATGTTAAATCTGGAAGTTATGTTAATATATGTATTTAAAAGTAGGTCAACTAATAACATTTTGCCTGTATTTTATCATAGGAGATTTGCTGTTTTCTGCTCATGTAGGGCTGATGTGGAAACTATAAAAATATTTAGGGAGTGATTTTTAAAGTTGAGTTATAAATTTTGTAATTTAATGATTTTTGAAAATTTAGTCTTTGCCATAACACTTACATTTTCTTTTGATAAATTTTGAATAAATTTTCCATCTCTTGTACTTTAATAGGACCTGACACATAGGGGGAGTCAAGAAATATTTGTGGGATTTGACATTACAAGTGAATTCACTCGTGTTAGTTTTGTGAGAGTATTTTCTAGTTATATGTATTTATTAATAAATGGAAACGCTATGTTGCTTTGTAATTTTCCTTCATATTAATTTTTTATGGCATATTTTCATTTCTTTTTTAATAGCTAACCCACTCTTAGAAGCTTTTGGAAATGCAAAAACTGTTCGCAACAATAATAGCAGTCGATTTGGGAAATTCGTAGAAATACATTTCAATGAAAAGGTAAGTGAGAGTGAGTTTTGGGTTAATATATTTGGGAAGTGTTTTTAGAAAAAGCAAAAGGTCTTGATAGAATTGGTAGTGTACTTGAACTCATGGCAAATATATTAAAATTTTTCTCTTACTATTAGATATTTGGGAGAATATATATGTTCACTGTGATCACTGTAAATTCTAAAGCTTATGTTTATTAATAGTTATCTATTTTCCCCCTTTATTTGATAAATATTGCAACCTCTTTGATAGACAAATGGTTATTAGGAAAGATAGTTTAACATTGGTAGGTTATACTTTAAGACTTTAGATGCAAAACCATAATTTCTCTCTGTTTTGTTTTCTAGAGTTCAGTTGTTGGAGGATTTGTTTCACATTATCTTCTAGAGAAATCTAGGATCTGTGTTCAAGGCAAAGAGGAAAGGAATTATCATATCTTTTATAGGTTGTGTGCTGGTGCTTCTGAAGATATTAGGGAAAGACTTCATCTGAGCTCTCCAGATAATTTTCGGGTAGGTTGAATGAAAAGAAATTTCATAAAGTTTTTCCAAATTGAATTATCTTCTATTCTAAAGCGTATTTCAGTGGATTTTGATGTCTAGTTGCATATAACTTACATTAAGTTCAGTGTATTGTGATAGAATGACTTCTGTAATAAGTGGATCTATATGGAGGTTTATTGCTTAGTTTATAACACGGTATGAGAAGATACATAATGGGATAGGTAAAAGGAAAGATACTAAACTAATTGTGTCAATTGGTTATCAATTTATCTTCAGTAAGTAGTTTATAATAGTTCTGTAATGCTAGCTTTACAGTTACCTTTGACTTACTTACAAAAAAAAAGTTTGACCACTGAATTAATATTAATAAAAGATCCCTACTTGTCTTCCTTAATTCATTTCAACAAATATTTATTGCTTACCCTTTGGGTACCAGGATTGTGACATAGTTAAAAAGATAAATGAGACACAGTTCGTGCTTCTGTGCAATTTAGAAACTGGTGGAAAACATGTACACAATTTTGACTGATATGTTGAATGAGTAAGAGAGATGCATAGGAAGCTGATAATTTTGGAGAAAACCTTACTGGAACAATTGATGCTTGATCAGAATCCTGAGGGGTTTTCAGGTGTTAACTAGAGGCAGAAACATGCAAAGGGTATTCCTGGTAGATGCAAAGAGATAAAGAAAGGCAGGAAGTGGCTTAAAGCGAAGGACAGGAAGGACAGGACAGGAAGAACGGGAGTTGAAGCTAGAGAGTTTGGTCTTTTTTCTGTAGTTAGTAAGGAGTGGTTGAAGGGAGTTAAGGGGGGTGGGGTGGGGTGGTGGAGGAGGGGATGGATAGAAATTGCAACCATGGGTAAGTGGGTTGGGAACCTGTAGGTGACATAGCAGTTACTATGTGCCTGAACTTGGTTTAGCGATGGCAGGGTTACTGAGGAGGGGGTGTGTGAAACAGGAGGTAAAAGTGACCTGACTAGGAGACTGAATTAGGTAAGGAGAAGGAGGAGTCTGAAATTATTTTCCAGGATTTCATTAGGGTAACTGGGTGGCTCTAAATACCATGTTGGGGCCAGATGGAAGATTTGTGGTGTGTAGGATGCATCCAGTTTTGGAGTCTGTGGATTATCTAAGTGGAGCTGTTCAGAAGACTGTTGGGTGGGCTAAGATCAGGTCAGAGCTGCGGGGACAGGTTTGCGAGATGTCAGTACGCTGATGAACTGTGAGAGTGAGGAGATGAGATTGTGCAGAGAGATTGCATAACATAGAACAGCATGTGCCAGGATCCAAACTCTACAGGTAAAGAGGATGAGTAGACGAGCTGTCTAAGAAAGGAAGCACAAGTGGAGTTGCGAGAGAAGCATGAGGAAGTCAGGAATGCCAAGGATCACAAGTCAGTGTTCAGTTTCGGGAAGTGGTGACTGGGAGTGGTAGGTGTAATTTACAAGTTCTCAGCTGGAAAATGGCATCCCTGTTTGGGACGTGGGAATCGTGGGGTGCAAATCGGAAGAGCAGTCGATGTAAAGTTCTCCAGGTGATTCTCATAGTCCTTTTTGGCCCCTAGTCCTACTTGAGAATCATGACACACATTTATCTTTAATTATTGTTCTGTGTGTGTGTTTGCAACCTGGCTTCTCTTTATTACTTCAATCAATTTCTTTTAATGTATATTTGGACATTTAAAAACTCTGTTGTTTTAAAATGCTTTATAACTGCATCTGTGTATGTAATTCTGCAATGTTTAATCTTCTCTGGGGGTGGTGGTGGTGTAGTCGCTAAGTCATGTCCGACTCTTGTGACCCCACGAACTGTAGCCCGCCTGGCTTCCCTGACCATGGGGTTCTCCAGGCAGGAATACTGGAGTGGGTTGCCATTTCCTTCTCCAGGGGATCTTCCGACCCAGGAATTGAACCCAGGTCTCCTGCATTGCTGGCAGATCCTTCACCGACTGAGCTATGAGGGAAGCCTTTATAGTATCTTCATGACAGTAGAAGAGGTGTTTTTCTACAGTGATTTTTAGAAAAGGACTATAAATTAATGTGAATCACATGGAATTTAATAATGTTGATGTGGCTTTGTCAACACTGAGTTAAGGATAAAGTGACATGACTGTTGTCTTAACATAGTGTTTCTTTCCACTTGGGGGCTTGGGAACGTAGTTTCTTTGTCTCAGAATGTGGAGTCTTTCCTGTCACAAGGACACCCTCCTAAGAGGGCAGCCTCTGAAATGCTTTATCAGGTCAGAGTTTCCTGTCCCTGTGGTGTGACCTAGGGGCATGATTTCCTCTTAACAAGGGAGTCCTTTTGGTGGTAAGAGGAAAACTAGAGGAACAGCATTAGGTTTTACCTAAAAACATCTGCTCTCTTGGATATTCCTCTCTGGCAGGCAGGCATGCACCTCTGTGTTCCTTCCCCCAAATTATTCTGCCTTAGAGTGACTTCGAGTCTTGGTCATTTCATCAAGTTTTTCTCTGGTTTAGTTTAGGCCTCCAGTAATAACTCGGGGATAAAGTTGTAAAAACAAAGGAGAAACTGCAGCAGGGTGAACACTCCCCCCACCCCGCCCCCAGATTTTTTCATCACTGCTGTATACAAATTAGTGACTCTATCCAAATTAGTATATAAAGAATTATAGAGTTAAGTCTGTTCAGAAACATCCATATTAACTACACATGTATTTTAGAAAATAAAAGGTTAAAAATGCTTGTATTATTCAAAATTTTGAAATATTTTTGCACATGTTCCATGGAAGTATTCATTATAGCCATGCAAGGATCTTTGAATATAAATTAGACTTGGATAGAATGAGAATGGGTGACTAGAATAGTTACAGTTTCTAGTTAAAGAAAAGAAGAAACAAGTATTGTTCTTAGGTTTTATTATTAAGTCCATCTGTCTAGAAACCTAGTATTTGATAAAAACAGTTGCAGTAGGTGGATAAAACTCTTGCTATCAAAGAAAACATTTGTTTTGGGTCCATATAGTTAAGCTACTATTATCCTACTAAATAAAAGAGCTCTGTTTGGAAAGTCAGTTGAAATTGCTTACCAGTATTATCCCTTTTATTTTATTCTTTCCCTCAAGATTTTAGTTTGCAAAGAAAAATTCGTTGGATATTATTTTCTGGTTTTAACTGTATTTTAATATTTCACTATAATGAGGGGGAAATAAATCCATTGATTATCTTCAGTATTAATTTATACCTAAATCATTCAATTTACTGTGAATTTTTTCTTGATATCTGTATAATTTAATCTTGGAATTCATGTCATTGGAGAGTAGAATCCTAGTGACCTGATTTAAGAAAAGCTGAGATGTTTAAAAGATTTTCTCATCCTGTTCCCTATGTACTTCCTTCCTGAACAACCCCCACCTATTAAATGTGGGTAATAGATTCTGCTCAAGACCAGTAGATTATTTTCTTTTCAGTTGCTTCCCTTGTTCTGTGTTTCAAAGCACTTAGTCTTAAAAAACTTCTGGGCAGGGAAGTAAATCATTGAGATAAAAGCTGAAATTGTTATTTGAATACCTGTGAAGGTTCATAAAGCAAATGTAATTGATGTACAGTTAGTGTTAACTGTCAGTCACTATGAAAGGCATGTTTTGAAGGACTGATTGTAAAAACCAGAAATTAATAAACTCAAAAATATTATTTGTTAATTATTCAGAATTTAAAATATTACTCAAAATATTCAACCACAGTGTGAGTCCTTGTTCGAGACTTTTTGCATATTTAGGTCATATCTTGTAAAGGTTTAAAATTGCTCCCTTTTAAAAGTAGGAAAGCTTTATGGTACTGTTTTTTTCTGTTAATCATTTAATTCAACTTTCAGGTTAAGAGTTCACCATCCCTGGTTTGATTAATAGAAGTAAAGTGTTTATGATATACAGAAGTATTGATTTTAATTGAAAGATTAAATGATACTCAGGTTATGTTTAGAAATGGTTCACACTGTTGGATAGATTGTGTTTTCCTTTGTGTTATTTTCCTGTGGATCATATTGTTAATTATATTTTAAATTTCTTTGTCGTAGTATTTAAACCGAGGCTGCACTAGATACTTTGCTAACAAAGAAACTGACAAACAGATTTTACAGAACCGAAAAACTCCTGAGGTAAAGTAGACCTTAAAAACGGATTATAATCTTTAATGCAAAAAAATTGTCCTGAAAGATGCATTCTGTTTTTATTTTGAAATCCAAGTGAGATTTCTTACTTGTAGGCTTATGCGTAAAAGACCCCGCAGTCACTCACGCCTCTCTCGCCGGGAAGCACTTTGTTCCTCTTTTGCCATCTCTAGAAGCTGCAGGCTCTGGGTCTTCTTGGTGGGACCTCAGGGCACTTTTTTCCTTGTTATTTTCCAAATGTGAAGGTATCAAACTGCCTAAAAATCATCCTTTGCTAACAGTTTTGAAACTTACTCTCATATTAACCATTAGGATTAAATATAAAATATGTTCTTTATAATTTATTATCTGTGTCAAGGCTGAAATAAGCTTTGATGTACACAAAGAGTGAGCGTTGTTGTGAACTAATTATGTGTTATTGTGATATTTCTCTTTAAAACAGCATGTTTCTGTAATTATAATGAAAAGCTTAGTTTTATGTGTAACTTTTACAAATTATTGTATTTCTAGGATTAATTGGATATAATTATACCATTAAGTATTACTTTAAAAGCATAAAATCCTTAATGTAAAAATCTACAACCTTTATAAATTCTAAGATGCAATGTGTAGGTGGTAAGTGGTATGAAGGTGTAGCTACTCAAGTAGCTTAAATTATGAAATACGAAGTCAGGATTAATTATAGGGACTAGTTCATATTGTCTTTATTAATTTTTTAAAAAGATTTATATTGAGTGTTTAATTGAACAAAGTTTTATTATATTCACTTTTTAATGTCTCTGCATTTGAGTGAGTTAGATGTTTTTGACTACTTTGAAGATAGTGAGAATTATATCTTTAATATATTCATAGAAAAGAACAGAAAACAAGAATCCCCATTATTATGAATTCTAAGCAGATGAGTCTGCAGTTAATGTTTGTTTAAATTGACATTTTATTTATCATTTTAGATACAGATGTCTGAATTATAAATTGTAAACATCCATAGTTGAGACTTTAAGAAATGACATTATTATTACAGTATTCTCTTTTGTTATGATAATCTATATTTTTACAAGGTACCATTGAAATACAGAAATTGTATTATTTTCACTAAGATAACTGGGACATTCCCTGGTGGAATATTGCTGCTATCCTAAAGGAAAAAACACATACATATATACATTTAATCTTTTGGTGTGGGAAAGACTGAGTGGAGAGGAAAGAAGAATGTTATTTTTACTTTCCAAAGAGTATTGTACTCTTTGTACTCTCCTAAGAAGAAAATGTTCACTTTCTGATTCTAGCGTCACCATACTTTGTTAAGAATCTTATTCACATTATTGAGTTTATATATAAAAATACGTAAGTGACTAATGGATTTAATATGTTTAAATTGCTTTTTATTGTTTTCTGTATCAGGAGGATGAGGTGATCATTTTGACTATTCAGAATTCTTTGCCTAGTTTCATTGGCGTGTTTTTAAGCTGTGTGTAATTTTTAGGAGAATGCAGTATTTTTAGTCTGCTATGGTAGCAATATATTCATGGACATTTGATTAGAAACAGTTTTCAAGTGAAGTAACTGATCAATTGCAAGACTAAAAATTCTGCATGATATGTGTTTTCTTTTCAGTTTGGCTGCATGTTGTTGTTTGCTGCTTTGAAGAATAAAATTAAATTTCCTTGTCTAGACATTTTCCAGAAATTTTACATGTGCATAATTAAACATTTTAAAGACTGTGGAAAGGCAATTACAACTTTAGCTGGGAAGCAATTAGCAACCCAGGGGAAAAAACAACTCTCCTTGGGATGTCTAGAATGGCCAGTTAATTCTGACACTGTTACCTAATGTTTAATTTTACTTATTCATTCTCAAAATTCTGGAAAATTGCTAGTCCAATCTTTCTGTGTCCAGTAACTTTGTTTTTCCTCCTTCTAGTTTCTGCAGGGCTGACTTTCTTCTTCCTTTTTCTGAGTTGTTTATAGGTTCTAGTGAAGAATACATTAGATGAACATTCTTTAAAGAAAAGAGATTTTTCTCTGCCATTTTTTTCAGAAATGTTTTCAGTCATTGCATGAATTCTTAGCATAAGCATAATGCTTACTGATATACTTTACCTCATATATACTAACAGATAAAGGCTTAAAAATTAACTCCCAGGCCATGAAAATTGTTGTTAGCCTTTCCACTGTTCACTGCTTTTGAATACTGGTACAGCTCAGATTTAAAATTGTATTACAGTTTTTTATTTTTTATTTTTTTTGTATTACAGTTTTTTAAAACTTCAGTACTTTTTGGCCTTTGGTTTTATGTTGATTCAACCACAGATATTTCCTTCATTTTCACTCAATTTATGTTTTTATATAATGTCTCAGCTTTAGAGTTAAAATTGTAATTAAATTGGAAAACATCTCATTCCATTTTTGACTGGAATTTTTGTGGAGATAGGTGTAGATTCATACACCATTGAAAGAAATAATATATAGATCCTGTGTACACTTTGCCCTGTCATTCAGTTTTTGAATGTGTTAAACACTAAAGTTTTCTGATTGATGCATTTTATTTTTGCATGTTATATAGTGCATTACTAGACCTTGAGTAGTTGTGTAGGTGATACTTAAGCAATGTAGACCACAATTAATTGATGTCTTCTTGTTTTGTAGCATCTTAAGGCAGGTTCCTTGAAAGATCCTTTGTTGGATGACCATGGAGATTTTATTAGAATGTGCACAGCCATGAAAAAGATTGGCTTGGATGATGAAGAAAAGCTTGATCTGTTCCGGGTAGTAGCTGGTGTCCTTCACCTTGGGAATATTGATTTTGAGGAAGCTGGCAGCACTTCAGGTTGTTTTGTTTGTTTTTTTTTTTTTTTGTGGTCTTTTTGTTTTGTTTTAAAAAGAAGTAAAATTTGAAGTTCTGTCATTCAATTGCCTATGTACATTGACTGTGTGTGCTAGTTTGTTAATCCCCTACATTTCCAGACTATATTGTTTCACATGATGAAACTTGCAACTGAAGGCTGCTGCATTTTTGATTATTGTGAAATTTGTTTTTGAATAAAGCAGTGATACTGATGAGGAATAAACTCATTTTATGAAGGATAAGTAACTGACTACGAGGGTCATATTTGGTTAAATTTTTGGACTTTTCCAATAAGTGAACAGAATAATCCTCTACTATCTTTTGAGGCATTTTGATGTTTTTCTGGTTTCACTGATCTAAACTTGGATTAGTTAGTTAGGATAATTGAGTACATAAAAGCCCATATACATTATTATCGGAAATGAAAACAAGTTAAACTTGATTCCCATTGAAAAAGCATTTAAATGCCTGCATGATCTTTTCAACCATATTGTTTCAGTCTATGTAAATACCAAGTCTTCCCTGGTGGCTCAGATGGTGAAGAAATCTTCCTGCAATGCAGGAGACCTAGATTGAACCCCTGGGTTGGGCAGATCCCCTGGAGAAGGGAAAGCCTACTCACTCCAGTATTCTTGCCTGGAGAATTCCATGGACAGAGGAGCCTAGAGGGCTTATAGTCCATGGGGTTGCAAAGAGTCAGACATGACTGAGCAACTAACTCTTTGTATGATCTTAAGTTTGATCCGTGAATGGAGGGGTTGGCTCATGGTCAAATCTGACTAGCTGCCTGTTTTTGTTTTGCAAGCAAAGTTTTAATAGAACACATTAAGACATTTATTTATGTCTTATCCATGCCAACTTTCATGCTGCAGTGTCAGAGTTGGGTAGTTGTGACAGACTGCGTGGCTGGCAAAGCCTAAAACCTCATACTCTAGAGAAAAAGATTGTTGATTCCTGCCTAACATACATTGTTTTAAAAAAATCAAAAGCACCATTTAACACAGCAATCAGTAATGTGGGCTTTAGTGTCAGATCCCAGAAGCTCTGTAAACCTTGACTTTTTCACTCATAAAATAATGAAGAGATAATCCACAAGGGGAATGTTTTTTAAGTACAGTTACGTTAAGAGTAGTTTGCATATAAGGACGGGGCACAAGAGGAAGGAAGAACATTAAAAAATGAATGTGTCTGCTATGTGCAAGACCCTTCCTATATTGTGTTTCATTATAAACATCATAATCATAATCTGAACTTAATAAAGATAATGAGATAGAGGATTTTATCTCCATTTTACAGAAGTAGGACCTCTGAGAAGTTTAAGTAGTACGGTCACTAGTGAGGCTGTAGGTATGAGAGCTGGTTCTCCTCACATGTGACTGACTGCGGTGTGTGTGATAACTGCCTCTCATTGCCCTCTGTCACTGAACTTTTTGAGCAGATGGAAGTTGACAGTCTTGATGGCTTTCAGACTGAGTGTCTGTGAGTCTGTGACCTCAGCATCAGATGACAGAGTGTGGTATGTAGGAGTACGTTGTCTAGGGCCAGTCTCTTCACCGTGTGTTAACCTGCCTGTGTGACCTGGGGCCAGGGACTTAACCTCTCTGAGTCTCGGTTTCCTCACCTGTAAAGTGGGAATAATAAACACCAGGTCCAACCTCATGTCATAAAGAGGAATAAATGAGTTAAATGTTTGTAGAATGATGCAAATACTTATGCCTGCCATGTAGTAATCACTGTGTTTTTAATGCAAAAGTAAAATAAAAATACTGATTACTCCCAGTTAAAAATGAAACAAGGAAAAAGAAAAACTAGGCAATATCAGGTATGTACTTAGTATGCATTAAAATTTGTACTAGTTTTTTTTGAGGAATTTGAAAATGTAATGAATGTTAGAATGCATTTTTGTTTGTTCTGTGGCATCATACCAAGGGAGCATGTAGGAATATTAATAATATCCAAAAATGTTTAATTAATGCACGCTTTGGACATATTGTTTGTTTGAAGTGATAGGTGGCATGTTCACACACCTTGTGTTATTACCCTGTGGTAGGACATGCAGTTGTATACAGAGAATCATGAATGTGGATATAGTTAGTTGGAAAGCATTTAATTGTCAAAAGGCAGTTAGTAGATATTTACATTGTCTTTTATTTTTCTTCTCAAACTTCCTTCTGTTGAAGGGAAAATGAGCAGAAAGCAGAGCAGATTGGAATGAGGCAATAAATCAAAAGAATTAATAAGCTAAGTCATTTTTATTTTAATAGCTAAGATTTTATTATATTGTGATCATTCCTATAATCCTTCCTATAGATTCAGATTTCTTTCTTTCTAATTAGAATTTATTTTTTCCTGTCCCAGAGAGCTCAATTTTGGCATGACTTTGCAATTTGAAAAAGCTCTGGATATTTTGTGATCATTTTATCAGAAAATTTATTCTTTAATAAATATGTAGACAGCTCCCACTGCTACTTAGAAGTTTTTACTTGATGGAAATGCAAAAAATACCTATTGGGAGTTCCTATGTTTTTAAAATTCCACATAACGAAATATATGTTATAAGAACAATTGTAAAAAACTGTTCAAAGAAGTTCATTTTTAGAAGGAGTGACATGAAAGCCTTACATTATTTTATAGTGGTTTTTTTTGCCTTTCTGAAGTTTTTAATGTTTTAATAAACATTTTAATTTATATTTTATGCTAGTATTATATAATTCCTGAAAGTATATAAGAAACGTTGCAAAATAGTTTAAAAAAAAGAAGCATTGAAACGAATTGATCGGTTATTGGTGGTAAATTTTTTGAGTTATGTAATTTTAGATCATGTGTATGTGTGTACAAACTACAAATTAGTAATTTTATTTTCCTGGAATTAAAGGTTTAATATATCTTCTAAGTATTCCTCTTCCCTTATTGTTTTTTTCAGCTTTATTGAAATATAATTTATATTGAGTTGCACAATAGTCACTCTAATCAGTTTTAGAACATTTTCATCACTCCGAAAAGGAACTCCATGCCCTTCATTAGTTACTCCCCAACCCTCCCAAATACCTAGCCATTAGGCGGCCACTGTTATACACTGTCTCTATCAATTGGGTGTTTCATACAAATGAAATCAAACAATATGGGCTCTTTTGTGACTAATTTCTTTCCCTTAGCCTAGTATTTTCAAGGTTCATTCATGTTTAAACATCTGTCAGTGCATCATTTCTTTTTTTGCTGACTAATATTTCATTGCATGGACATATACCACATTTTGTTTATCCGTTTGTCATTTGAGGAACTATTAGGTTGCTTCTACCTTTGGCTATTAAGAATATTGCTATGGCCTAAACATTTATGTGCAGATTTTTGTGTGCATATATATTTTCATTTCTCTGTGTGTATGCCTGGGAGTGGAATTGCTGAGTCATATGGTAATTCTATATTTAACCTTTTGAGGAATTGATTTTCAAAGTAACTGAACCAGTTTTACATTCTTACCAGTCTAGTGCATGCAAAGTGCTGCCTCATTGTGGTTTTTATTTACATTTTCCTGATGGATCAAGGTGCTGAGCATTTTTTCATGATTTTATTGGCCATTTGTATATTTTTTTTTGAGAAATGACTGCTTATATTTTCCTCATTTATTTGATTGCCTTTTAAAAATTCACTTGTAAGAGTTTTAAAGTGTATTCTGAATATAAGTTCCTTATCAGATATATAATTTGCAAATATTTTCTCTCTGTGATTTCTCTTTTTAAATTTTTGATAGTGTTCTTTGAAACGTAAAAGGTTTTCACTTTGATGAAATCCAATTTGGGTTTGGGTGGACTCTGGGAGTTGGTGAAGGACAAGGAGGCCTGGCGTGCTGTGGTTCATGGGGTCACAAAGAGTCGGACACAGCTGAGCAACTGAACTGAACTGAATTTGCGTATTTTTTTTCTTTTGTTGCTTATGGTGCCATATCTAGGAAACCAACCTAGTCCAAGATCATATGGATTTATGTCTGAATTCTTCTAAGAGTTTATAATGTTAACTCTTACCTTGAAGTTGAGTTTGAGTTCATTTCTTTGTATGATATGAAGTAGAAGTCCAGCTACATTATTTTGCCTATGGATGTCCAGTTGTCCAATGCCATTTGTTTGAAATACAGTTCTTTCCTCAATGAATTGTCTTGACAACATTTTATTCATATGAGATCTCATAGTCTGTTTCTCCTGAGACCAGTCTGTTAAGTAGTTTATCTATTGGTCATGATATAATTCTCATTATGATTACATGTATTCTTTGTAATCTTGAAATTAGATAGTCTTAAATGAATCATTTATACAGTCCTAAAAATATTAAGTATTTATTATTTTATTATTACTAATAAGACAATAATTATATGTGCTTATTATGCACCAGACACTCTTCCAGGCAATTCACATATCCACCCTTACTAGTCTTCATAACAACCTTATTAGATTGATACAATTACTGTCCTTATTATATGGGTGAGGAAACTGAGCATAATAAGTAACTCATTTAAGGTCACACAACTAGTAAATTCTAGAGCCGTAAGAGCCTGGAGTCTAAAGCACTATTGTATGCTGTCTTTCTATAAAGAAGCATTTTGAAACAGCCTCATAAATAGGAATGTATGGATATGATGTTCAGAAAAAATGACCGTGGCCTCCTCACCCTCTTTTATCCCCGAGTATCACCAGCACATGCATGAGTGCACGCTCACGCCCGCCCCTAGACAAACATCCACACCCACACTGACCTCATGACGTTTACCACTGAAATTACTCCTTAACGCTTTCTGCAGTCATATGAGTTTTAGTGATAAGGCATTCTGTTATTCCAGAGATTTAATATATTAGCAAGGTTTGTAATCTATCATTAGTATATTTCCCTTGGAGGGTCATGAAAAATGAAACCGTGATAGGTTAAAATTGGTGGGCTGAAAGGATTGTGTCATGGGCTGCCCTGAATGAGAGTCACCCAGTGATCTTGGCAGTATGAGTGTCTTACAAGGGTGGGGAACAAGGGAGGTGAAATTACAAGTCACAAATAAGCCTTGTCTAGTTCAGAGCTTTATGTCAGTGAAGTGTACTTCTAAGAAATGCATCTTGAAAATCTCATGTGATGTTTATTAATTGCAAATTAAAATCTGTTTTCATTAGGTGGTTGTAATCTGAAGAATAAATCTACTCAGTCATTGGAATATTGTGCTGAATTACTGGGTCTGGATCAAGATGATCTTCGTGTAAGTTTAACTACAAGAGTCATGCTGACAACAGCAGGGGGCACCAAAGGAACAGTGATAAAGTAAGTTCCCTGCTCACTGCTCCCTGCAAGTCCTGCCTTGTGGGGGAAAAGCCAGATCCTGTCTCTGTTCCTTGCTGAGTAAGGCAAAGGACTGTTTCAAAACATTTCAGTAAATTTTAAAAGTAAGGATTAAAAAAAGCCCTGTTAGCAACACAGGAAATTCCATAACTTACTTTGGAAAACATTAGCAAGGCATGTTTAGCCTGGCTCTCTGCTAAGCTAATTCCCAGTTATTGTTACGTTGAAGACAAGCTCAGTGAGGAGAGGATATAGTAGTGCCTGCAGTACTGTGGTTCCTTCAGAGACTTTTCTGGAGCCCACGGGAAGGCTGGTAAAAGCCCCCGGTGTGGTCCTTAGCTCCATTTCCCCTGTGTTCTAAAGCAGTTCTATGTTTTATGGATGGAGGGTCCACATCAGAGTCCCTTTAGGAAAGGGTTCTTCTCCAGGAAATGGAAGTTGAGAAACCACTGTTTAGAAGAGATTCAAGTATTAGTCTGACCTGAATGACTTTTGAGGTTACTTTGGAAGTTTGATAATTTTTTCTTGTGTTCCCAAAGTGCCTCATGCTTTATGACAGCATTTAGCATAGTGTCTGGAAATTCTTCTGCATGGCAGTCTGTCTTCATCAGACCGCATGTCTGATCTACAGCGTCTGATGCTGTTGTACCATGTAGTTATTAATACTTAGATGAAAGTGTAGAGTTGGACAGTTTGGATTTTAAGATACACTTTTTTTCTTTTTTCCCTAAACAATGTTAACAAATTACTGAACTTTAAAGTTGTCTGGAATTAAACACAGTTTCTTTTGCATTTAAGAAAGTCACGTGGAAGATTATTCCTCTGAATAAATTTTTTGTGTATTCAGCATGTACCGTGAGGTATAAAATTAAGGTTAAAAAGATTTTTTGAGCCTAATATTCTTTTACTCAATAATAGGTCTTTAATCTAGTTATAGATAATTCTCTTGTAGTATTCTACTTGGCCCTATTTATTTGTTTCCATTCACAACTGGCATTTTGTAGCTGTTTGTTTTGTCCTTCACATTGACTGTGCCTACTCAGTTCTTGGGAACCTGGTGTTATTTCCATAACATGTTGCTAGGAAGAATTTCTGTTGACTCGGTCTTCTTTTACAGGGTACCCCTGAAAGTGGAACAGGCGAACAATGCCCGGGACGCCTTGGCAAAGACTGTCTATAGCCATCTTTTTGATCGCGTGGTCAACAGAGTAAACCAGTGTTTTCCTTTTGAAACATCGTCCTATTTTATTGGAGTCCTGGATATTGCTGGGTTTGGTAAATATAGTTTTGTTTGTGAGTTTGTATCTGTTTGATATTTTTACACCCAGTTTTTTCACACATGTTTAAAATAAAACTTTAAAAATCTTTTTTCCCTTTAATACCTTTCACTTAGTGTATTTCTAGTTATATGTCTATACTATCATTTCATTTCATAATATGATTTAAATAAGAAGCTAATGTTTCAGGATAAAAGGAAAGACTGGTGGATTTTGGTCACGCTAATGCTTAAATTAAAACATGCTGATTGAAACTACTGTGGGTAGACATGTCTCAGTACTTTTAAATGAGTAGAACTGAATGAAGTCTTCAGTGTTGCTGATAGAGAGAATTGACTCATTAAGACCATTGACTCCAATGTAAAGCTGGATACAGGTTGATCCAGCACACTGGCCAAACTCATAACTATGTATAAAAATTCATCCTTAGTGTTAGTTGTCATCAGTGAGCTATTTCCAGTTAATTTCTACCAAATGAGTAAGCTATTAAGATAAATATTTGAGAAGAATGTGGATGTATATGACCTGAAATGAAATGAGTCACTGATGTCCGAATGCTTTGTTTGGAATGACCATGTTGTAAAAATCTCAAAGTAAGTCTGACCATTTTTTTTATTGAGCTTTATCAGTGTGGGCGTTCCTTCTGTCTGCACAAGTGCTGTCCTTTGTAATTTGTTTGCAGTTGCCAAGAGAAGATATGAGTGTTTACATTTTTGGGAAGGGCAGAGTTTTGTTTTTGATGTGGTATATATTTTGAAATTTACAATAAGGCATTACCTTTTGTTCAGAGCTAGAGAAACACTCATTACTGACTTCAGAATTTCATAGTCTTCAGACATTTGTTTCCTGGTCTGCACCAGTTTGGCACAAGACATGAATACACAAAGTCGTAACATTTTAAAGCTGCAAGGATCTTAGAAATAATGTAATACAACTCCTTAATTTTAGAAATGCATTAGTATCCATAATATTTTTTCTAACTATAATCTCACAGATCATACAAAAAAATATGAAGTGCTTACATTTTAAGTCATTTTCTTCAATTTAGATTGCTTTAACTCCTGTGCCTTAAAAGTATGTTACAAGTGACTTATGTTTTATATCTTTTACTATATGACATTTATCTAACAAACAACTTTTTGTCAAGCTGAGGTGTTTCTAATACTTAATTTTAGTGCCTGTCAAAATTTAAGTCTTGAAATAAGAGCATTTGAGGAGTATGAAACAGTTATACATACATTTTAACCTACTGTTAAATTAAGAATTGATACAATAAAATTTTATCCTAAGTTAAATTTATTAATGTGAAGTTGATCTGATAATGACTCTTGATTCTGGTTTTATTTTCAGAGTACTTTGAACATAACAGTTTTGAACAATTTTGTATCAACTATTGTAATGAAAAGCTTCAGCAGTTTTTTAATGAAAGGATTCTGAAGGAGGTAATTGACGTACAATTTAGATTTAAGAATGGCCCTCTATTTTAAATTTCAAGGTACCAAGATAGACTGCAGTTACCCAGATGGATGTGGTGTGATGTAAGGTGGCCCAGGGAATCAGGGCCTGCGTGGGCTATGGGGGCCCATCTTAAGTGTTAATGGTACAGCTGAGCTTAGGAGCCAAGCCAAGTAAAAACTCTAAAATGGGCGCCTCCTCAGAAGTGAGGGTATCTTGCTTTTTACTGGTGACTTTTACTAGACTTGAAATTCTTCTTGTTTCGTTTCCTGGTTCTGCTGTCTCTCGTCCCCCACTGCGAATCAGCAGCCTCCTCTCAGCCCTGTCCTGGGCCCCCCTCTCTTCCCTGGGTCTCTGCCTCTGCCCCTCGTTCCCTGCTCACCCTCTCTCTGTGAATGGCGGCGGAGCCCCCAGGTTGGGGGAGTCCATGGGCCCCGGCCGGCCTGCCTCCCCAGCCCAGCCGGTTACACTCTGCACTGCCCGTGGCCTGTAGGTGGCGTGTTTTTGGCCGGACACTGCGTCGGGTCGAGTAAGGAACTTCCCTTTGTAACACTTCAGAGTCCTCACTAAGTGTAGGTAACTTTGAATCAGTAGATTTGTGATTAGTCTCACCATTTTTTACCTTTTAATTTTCTGCTGTTTCCTACCGATACTCTTCCCTTCCCCTCCTTTGAGCTGTTTGATATGTATTTTCCTGAGTGAAGTGGGCAGAGTTAAAGGGAACTCAAAATGACTCCCTTAATCTAGGCCAGCCCTTAGTTCTACAGATGAAGAAACCACAGCAGTTCAGTGACTTCTGCAGGCCTACACCCACCTTCCTGGCTGCTGGTTCATAGCCCCACTCCCTTCGTATTAGCACTGCTGTTTTTGCAGCTCTCCTCTATATCTGGACTTGAAATGTGAAATGCTTTCTTTCCTGTTCCAATCCCATTCATCTTTTCCTCCTTTCTTACTATGTTTTTGTCCTTTTGGGTTTCCCAGCACATTCCAACTTTTATACCTCTCCTTATATATTATATTATAGTTAAGCCAGTTCTGGCATAAACAAGAGAGGTGAAGACAAGTACTTAGCAGTGAAGATAGTTTCTCTGAAAATGTTTCCTGTGCTGCCTCAGTCATCCCATTACTGTGTGAAGTTTGGCATGTATGCTTCTCACTTAACCTGCCTTAATTCTTCCCTTCCTACCAGCCCAGCAAGCTTTATCTAGAAACTTCATGAAGAGGAGACAGTCTTGATTTATGTTTGTAACGGTTCTTTAAAATAAAAAGGTGAATTTCAAATTCAGATTGAGTTCAAGTGGACACTGCCTCCTAGAATGACAGAAACCTTTTTGAGTATGTCTCTTAGGAGGAAATACTTAAACATTCAGGGGGAAAAATAAGAATGATACATAAACCTGAGCTCATTGCATTGCTCACCCATCTGTGATAAAATTCCCGCCTGCCTGCCCCCAACCCCGGTCTTGTCTTGGGTTCGAGTGATTATTAACAGATCCCTGTGTCTGTGCCTGGCTGCCCAGTGTATTTCAGGGAAAGCATGCTTATCTGTGAGCGAACATGTAAAAGTTGTTCATTATGTTGGCCATTGAAGTTGTGATTTCACCTTGCCTTAGGGACAAGTACTTTTCTTCCCTAATGCTTTGTAAGACTTCTCAGTCACCAAATCAGTTGGTATGAACCTTTGTACACTAACTAGTCAGTAAATGTTAAGATTATATCTGGCATAAAACAGTGAGTCTTTCCTCTCACATGGCATCTCCACATCTATGATTATGGTTATTTCTTTCTAGGAACAAGAACTCTATCAAAAGGAAGGTTTAGGGGTGAATGAAGTGCATTATGTGGATAATCAGGACTGTATAGGTATGTGTTGTTTTAATCCATTTTGGGGAATTATGGGAAGATATAGTGAATGTTTTCACTAGTCATTCTTCTGTGCTCTGTAATTGATGCTCCTGGGGATGGGACTTGAAACTGTGGTATTCAGCAGAGGATTTACCTCTCTGGTACTGCTGGGAAGTTGTTTTTTCACATGAAGGCACCAAATTCAGCTATACTGAAAGTATTCTGAAAATTTCTTCTGTTTACTCTGATGGGCATTTTCTTTCTTGAACAGCTAACACGTGACTAAGTTAAGGAGGAAACAGCCCTGTTTAAGCAGTGAAGGGATTCCTTACGTGGCGTGAGGAAGTCTGGTGTAGCACGGCTCCCCGTGCGGTCTGCAGGGGCTTGGCTCTGCGCCTGCCGTTGTTCGTCTCTTCTCTGTACCTCGGCTCTACCCTCCAGCTGGTTGCCGGTTGGCCTCACAAGCTCAGTGGGGCCCAGCAGATAATGCCACGCAGCAGGAGAGCAGTCTCTTTCCTGGTCTCTCGTTGGTAGAGAGATCTTTCCTGTCACCACCCAACTGGTGCTCAGGCTGGCTTTTCCTTCCAGCCTATCTCTAAAATCAGCTGCTGGGTAAGCCTTGCTGTGAAAGTGGCATTTGACAGTTGAGCCAGTAACTCGTGCTAGATTTGCACAAGACAGAACAGTGGTAACAGCAACAACACAGTCACAGTGATAATACTTTACGTTTGTAAACTTCTCAAAGGACTTTCGTACCCTGCCTGGTCCACTTAGCGTATCCCTCCACATCCCTTGCCCTTTCTCAGATCTTTGTGCCTCTGATGGTGTCGTTGGATATCTTGGCTGAAACTCCTCCCCTTCCGTTTACCTTTCTGCCCACTTCCATGCCCTGCATCTGTCAGAATACTCTTGTTTACAGCTCAGTTAGTGTGCCCCCCGTCACCCCCACTAATTGCCCAAGATGCATCGTTCTCTCCCAGTGCAGTTAGAGTCTTGATTTCTCTTCCTGTGTCCTGTAGCTTTTATTCATAATTAATTAATTAATTTTTTATTGAAGGATAATTGCTTTACAGAACTTTGCTGTTTTCTGTCAAACCTCACCCTGAATCAGCCATACATATATATATGTCCCCTCCCTTTTGAACCTCCCTCCCATCTCCCTCCCCATCCCACCCCTCTAGGTTGATACAGAGCCCCTGTTTGAGTTTCCTGAGACATACAGCAAATTCCTGTTGGCTCTCTATTTTACATGTGGTGATGTAAGATTCCATGTTAGTCTTTCCATACATCTCACCCTCTCCTCCCCTCTCCCCATGTCAGCAAGTCTATTCTCTATGTCTGTTTCTCCATTGCTGCCCTGTAAATAAATTCTTCATTACCATTTTTCTAGATTCCATATATATGCGCTAGAATACAATATTTATCTTTCTCTTTCTGACTTACTTCACTCTGTATAATGGGTTCTAGGTTCATCCACCTCATTAGAACTGACTCAAAGGTGTTCCTTTTCATGGCTGAGTAATATTCCATTGTGTATATGTGCCACAACTTCTTTATCCATTCATCTGTCGATGGGCATCTAGGCTGCTTCCATGTTCTAGCTATTGTAAGTAGTGCTGCGATGAACAATGGGATACATGCGTCTTTTTCAATTTTGGTTTCCTCAGGGCATATGCCCAGAAGTGGAATTTCAAAGTCATATGGTGGTTTTATTCCGAGTTTTTTAAGGAATCTCCATACTGTCTTCCATAGTAGCTGTTTACATTCCCACCAACAGTGCAAGAACATTCCCTTTTCTCCACACCCTCTCCAGCATTTATTGTTTCTAGACTTTTTGATGGTGGCCATTCTGACTGGTGTGAGGTGATAATCTCATTGTGGTTTTGATTTGCATTTCTCTAATAATGAGCAATGTTGAGCATCTTTTCATGCGTTTGTTAGCCATCTGTATGTCTTCTTTGGAGAAATGTCTGTTTAGGTCTTTCTCCCACTTTTTGTTTGGGTTGTTTGTTTTTTTGATATTGAGTTGTATGAGCTGCTTGTATATTTTGGAAATAAATTCTTTGTCAGTTGTTTCATTTGCTATTATTTTCTCCCATTCTGAGGGTTGTCTTTTCACCTTGCTTATAGTTCCTTTGCTGTGCAAAAGCTTTTAATTTAATCAGGTCCCACTTGTTTACTTTTGTTTTTATTTCTGTTACTCTAAAAGGTGGGTCATAGAGGATCTTGCTTTGATTTATGTTGAGTGTTCTGCCTGTGTTTTCCTCTAAGAGTTTTATAGTTTCTGGTCTTGTGTTTAGGTCTTTAATTCATTTTGAGTTTATCTTTGTGTATGATGTTAGGAAGTGTTCAGATTTCATTCTTTTACATGTAGCTGTCCAGTTGTCCCAGCACCATTTATCAAAGAGACTCTCTTTGCCCCATTGTATGTTCTTGACTCCTTTGTCAAAAATAAGGTATCCATAGGTGCATGGGTTTATTTCTGGGCTTTCTGTCTTATTCCATTGGTCTATATTTCTGTTTTTGTGCCAGTACCACACTGTCTTGATGATTGTAGCTTTGTAGTATTACCTGAAGTCAGGAAGGTTGATTCCTTCAGCTGCATTCTTCTTTCTCAAGACTGCTTTGGGTCTTTGGGATCTTTTGTGTTTCCATATGAGTTGTGAAATTTTTTGTTCTAGTTCTGTGAAAAATGCCATTGGTAATTGGATAGGGGGTCACATTGAATCTGTAGATTGCATTTGGTAGTGTAGTCATTTTCAGTAACATGGACTAGCTCTCAGTCTGTTTATGTCATCTTTGATTTCTTTCATTAGTGTCTTATAATTTTCTGTGTACAATTCTGTTGTCTCCTTAGGAAAGTTTATTCTTAGATATTTAATTATTTTTGTTGCAGTGGTGAATGGCATTGATTCCTTAATATTTTTTTCTGATTTTTCATTGTTAGTATATAGAAATGCAAGTGATTTCTGTGTATTGATTTTGTATCCTGCAACTTGCTAAATTCACTGACTAGCTCTAGTAATTTTCTGACACTATCTTTAGGATTTTCTATGTACAGTATCATGTCAACTGCAAATAGTGAGAGAGCTTTACTTCTTTTCCAGTTGGATTCCTTTTATTTATTTTTCTTCTCTGATTGCTGTAGCTAGGACTTCCAGAACTGTGTTCTGGAAGTGGTTAAAGTGGACACCCTTGTCTTGTTCCTGATCTTAGGGGGAATGCTTTCAGTTTTTCACCACTGAGAATAATGTTTGCTATAGGCTTGTCATATATGGCCTTTACTATGTTGAGGTAGGTTCCTTCTATGCTGATTATTTGAAGAGTTTTAATCATAAATGGGTGCTGAATTTTTTCAAAGGCTTTTTCTGCATCTATTGAGATTATCATATGGTTTTTATCTTTCAATTTGTTAATATTGTGCATTACATTGATTTGCGTCTATTGAAGAATCCTTGCATCCCTGAAATAAACCCAACTTCATCATGGTGTATGAGCTTTTTGATGTGTTGCTGAATTCTGTTTGCTAAAATTTTGTTGAAGACTTTTGCATCAATGTTCAACAGTGATATTGGCCTGTAGTTTTCTTTTTTTGTGTTGTCTTTGTCTGGTTTTGGTATCAGGGTGATGGTGGCCTCGTAGAATGAGTTTGAACATGTTCCTTCCTCTGCAATTTTTTGAAAGAGTTTTAGAAGGATAGGCATTAGCTCTTCTCTAAATGTTTGATAGAATTCTCCTGTGAAGCCATCTGGTCCTGGGCTTTTGTTTTTTGGGAGATTATTGATCACAGCTTCAATTTCAGTGCTTGTAATTGTGTTGTTCATACTTTCTATTTCTTCCTGGTTCAGTCTTGGAAGATTGAACTTTTCTAAGAATCTTTCCATTTCTTCCAGGTTATCTATTTTATTGCCGTATAGTTGTTCATAATAGTCTGTTATAATCCTTTGTATTTCTGCATTGTCTGTTGTAACATCTCCGTTTTCATTTCTATTTTGTTGATTTGATTCTTCTCTCTTTTTTCTTGATGACTTTGGCTAAGGGCTTGTCAATTTTGTTTATCTTCTCAAAGAACCAGCTTTTAGTTTTGTTAATCTTTACTACTGTTTCTTTCATTTCTTTTTCTTTTATTTCTGCTCAGATCTTTATGATTTCTTTCCTTCTGCTCATTTTTTTTTCTTTTTCCAGTTGTTTTAGGTGTAAAGTTAGGCTATTTGATGTTTTCCGTTTCTTGACATAGGATTGTACTGCTATAAACTTTCCTCTTACAGCTGCTTTTGCTGCATCCCATGGGTTTTGAGTTGTCATGTTTTCACTGTCATTTGTTTCTAGAAATTTTATTTCTCTTTCGATTTCTTCAGTAACCTGTTGGTTATTTAGAAATATATTGTTTAATCTCCATGTGTTTGTGTTTCTTAAAGTTTTTTTCTTGTAATTGATATCTAGTCTCATAGTGTTGTGGTTGGAGAAGATGCTTGATACGATTTCAGTTTTCATATATTTACTGAGGTTTGATTTGTGACCTGAGATGTGGTTTGTCCTGGAGAATGTTGCATGTGCACTTGAGAAGGTGTGTTCTTCTGCATTTGGTTGGAATATCCTGAATATACCAATGAGATCCATCTCATCTAAAGTATCATTTAATACTTGTGTTTCCTTATTAACTTTCTGTTTTGATGATACGTCCATTAGTGTGAGTGGGGTGTTAAAGTCTCCTACTTTTATTGTGTTACTGTCAATTTCTCCTTCTGTGTCTCTTAGTGTTTGTCTTCTGTATTGAAGAGCTCCTATGTTGGGGGCATAGATTTACAATTGTTATGTGTTCCTCTTGGATCGAACCCTTGATCATTATGTAGTATCCTTCCTTATCTCTTGTTCAGTTCAGTTCAGTCAGTCAGTCGTGTCCGACACTTTGGGACCCATGGACTGCAGCATGCCAGGCCTCCCTGTCCATCACCAATTCCCAGAGTCCACCCAAATCCATGTCCATTGGGTGATGGATGGTCGGTGATGCCATCCAA